TACATCTCCCTAACTAAAAAAAATTTCTGATAAAACCTTATATTTCTACCAGTGCTCCCAGAAAACCGCTATTTTCACCACTCAAAACCTTTCAAAATGCAACAAATCATACATAATCTGAAAGAGGACACTTTGGGATTTCAGTATATGTGCTTATCTAAAAATTGATTTTCTGAGGGGGGGGGTCCCCCTTGATCGTTCTCTTCTCTAGAGAAAAAAATATTGTTAAAGAAAATATTTCATCAACAATGATAGTTAAATTTAATGAAACCTTAGTGATTCTCTCTATAAAGAAAACTTACAAAGAAAAAGAAAGACTATCACTCAAAATTATACTCATTGATCAACGAAAAATAAATAGTTAAAATTTACTTACCAAAATAAGATGAAATCAAATGAAACAGCATCGAATTTTATTGAACTAACAAATTCAAATGTTAAAACAATTTTCAAGATTTCAACGTTTATCTTCGATAAATCATTTATTAATCTTCATGTAATAAATACAAAATTTTAATCAAACAAAAATTAGAAAATCGATTTTTCGATGATATACAAGTTTAAACAAGTCTCTTTATATTTAAATTTCAAAAGAATGTTTTTCTATATAATGCGCTCAAAAAACCCACAAGATTAGTGAAAAATCCAAAATCATCTGTAGGAATGAACTGTCCAAATATTATCATTCTAAATACTTATTGTCATGCATTTTAACATTTTATAACTGAAATAATAAATCAGTTACTTTAAACAACAATAAAAAAATAAGATATTCTGTAATGAGATGATGAACTAACTTCAACTAGAAGAATTCAACCCCTATTGATTTACCTTATAGTATTTGAGATAAACAAATTTTTTACATAAAAAATATATGTATATTACTAAAGAATGATCGTGCTCATAATCCATCAACGATCTCTCTATGTCATTGTCGATTTCTTAGTTTGCATGACAACATTGACTTCGCCCATCGTCATACACTTTTTCACAATGGAATTAAAAAAACTCTTATGGATGAAAAAAATGTGCACCCAACAAAGTCAGACGAATAAAAGTCTGCAGCATGTCACACGAAAAAAAAACAAAATTATTTATTTAGCTTATTTGAAAAAACATCGCAATCATTATCTGTTCAATAGTTAAACGAAAAGAAAAAACAAATAAAATGATCTACATGAAAATGTAAGGTTTAAATTGATGTTTGATAACTGTACAGAAAACAAAAATATAATTCAAGAACGAGCGACCGTAAACGAATTATCGAGATCAGTCATCTCGTTGACATTGAAAATGTTTTTGTTATTAGAATGGTGAAAAAAAAAAAATATACAAAACTATGACAAAATAATTTGTAGCTTTCTTTTTTTCTTCTGTTTTATTTTGTCCACTTTATAAATATTTTTTAAGTGAAGAAAAGTATGTCTCAATAGACAAAGGCAATTTATATTCGTTGCTTTCTCTCTTTTTTTCTTTTTGATTCTTTTGATTTCTTTCCATTTTTTCTTCAAGAGACAAGAAAACGGCAGACATTAAATTTACGAAGTCATATAATTTTAAAAAAATATAAAATATACACACATTTTCCTACGTTTAAAGTGACAACAAGAAGTCAAAATGAATGTAAATACAGGATTTTTTCCTCCTTATGGCTGTCGTCGTAAGCATTCAACAGCTGCTTATCATTTACCAATAAATAATCAACAACATCATAATTTATCAACATTACCAAGTGCACGTTCATCAATTGAAAGTACCAATGGTAACGAATCATTTTTACCATTAATATCAACTACTAATGGTAATAACGATAGTCATAAACCTTATCGTCGAAATGATTTTGCTAATAATCATTTATTTATTGCTAAACGTAAATTAGCTCGAGTTTTTCTTGGACAACCATCAAGAAATTTACAAGCAACAAGTGATCTTATTCATTTATTTGATCAACAAAAGCCAAAACGCAAAAATCGAAATTTAAATCAACAACAACGACAGGTGAATTTTTTGTTTTTTTTCTTTTTGATTAATTTAATAAATTGAATTTCTTTTAAAACTTCATTTTCATTTAGGAAGATAAAACTTCATCAGCTGAACAAGATGCTCATTTATCTGTTGTTGATCTTATCATGAAACCTCCATATCCAGCAACATTAACTCGTGATCCATTATCAGCAATAGTACGTAATCGTCATTCTCAAACAATTAATTGTTCGGCTAAACTTCATCACTCATCATCTCATGCAAATAGTTCATCAGCTAAGCCAAGTCTTCCATCAACAATACTTCATACCTATACCGATGATAATGAACTTGATGAACTAATCGATAATGACAATGTATCGGATACTATAAGCACAACAATCAATCCATTTGATTCAACGTTATTATGTGTTAGATCGATTATTCCTTCGGCTGGACCGCAACATACAAATCATCATTTGTTACAACATCGCTAATTTCTTTTTTCTTAAAACAAAAATAATACAATTGTTTGCTGTTTGAAAACAAATAGCTTTTTTTATTCCTTGTATTATGAAAAGACAGTAGATCATTTTTATGTTATACTCTGATGTTTTACAAGGTTTTGTTTATTATTTCGTGAAATATAATATACTTGATAATCGATCGTATTGATGATCATTTAAATTTCAAGACTTTTCTTATTTAGCGCTAAAATTAAATTGATTAAAATTCTTAAATGAAATCGAAAAAAAAAGCTGAAATACGAGATATACAATCAAAAGAAGAATGGGATATAATGTTAAACAAAGAAGGCTTAAAATAAGTTTTTATTTCTTCTAATTTTTTTCAATATTTATCATCGTTTTACATTTAAAAAACTATTTTCAATTAATTACTTTTTGCTTTTTTTTTTGTACAGTAATCGATGTCTATCAAGAATGGGCTGGTTCAACAATTGTATTAGAAGATATTTTTCTTAAACTTAAACGTAATTTAACACAAACAGAATATTTAACATTCTATTCAGCGAATTGTGAAAATATTGAATCACTTAAACGTTATCGTGGTTATTGTGAACCGTTATTACTTTTTTTTGGAGTATTTTCTTTTTTTTAAAGTTAATATTTATATCATGTTTGATGAATAAAAATCTTTTAGAGCAATATTTTGATACATATACAATATCATATAGATGCACCACAAATAGAAAAATCTATTGAAGAACAACTTAATAAAGAATTACAAGTAATTAAAGAAAATCGTAAACGAGAACCTGTAAGTTAAATGAATATTTTTCATAAGGATATATATTATTGATGTTCATCGTAGATTGATGATTCATTTTTAACGAAATATTCAGAAAATAATGGTATTCAACAGATGAATGGAATTATTAATAGAGAATCATTTTCAATAGAACCTATATGTAACAAAAAAAAAAAAAAATTTGTTCTTAATATTAAACAAGAATTTTTTATTAATTTTTTCGATGTTATAGTATATAAAAATGAATCATTAAGTTTTCGAAGTTTATTAATGAAAACTGCAGAAAAAATTGATCAAGATTATTGGCTTAGTCAAGGTTTTCTTTTGCTTTTTTTTTTTTTCGTTTTTCTAATATTTTATTCTAATTTATATTTATCTATTTAGAACCATATAAATTAGATGTTTCACTTTTTGTTATAAAACCTGATCTTGTTGCCAATGGAAAAAAAGATGAAATTTTAGATCATGTAAAAAATAAATAAAATAAAATAGAAATCTATCTTAAATATTGAATATTTTATAGTTACATAATAAAGGATTTATTATTCATACACATGCTGATAAGTTATTAAATGATGAAGATATGATAAAAATTTTTAAACCAGTATATTTATTTATAATTGTTTTTAATATTATTTTATTTTATATAGGATTCGAGTATTCTTAATGAATTCATACGATTTATGTATAGTGGTCCAAGTACTTATGCAGTAGTATCAAAAGGTCATACAGGACGTTCAACATCGGATGATCTTCATTATATAATTGGTTTAAATGATCCAGATTTAGCTAAAGAAAATAATCCTCAATCTTTAACTGCAATTTATGGAACAGATACTATTTTAAATGGATTTTATTCGAGTCATACTAATAATGAAGCTCTAAAGTCTATACTTTTAATATTATTTACGAGAGAAATCCTTTAACTATTTAATCACTTTTAAGTTGAGACTTTATGCTTTACATAGATCCAAATCAGTTATTGAATATTATGAAAAGAGTTCTTGCCCTAAGTTTATTGATACGGATATACTAGACTTTTGCGGTATTTTTTAAATGACTGCAGTGATCTCGAAAACTTGGTTTGCGAATTTCGATTTGAAACTTTGCATAGAGACAGAATTTTATTAGAATAGTCTTTTTTTTTTATGAATGTTGTTGTTCCTTTTTTAAAAGATACAATTGTGGTAATAATGTGTCTTTCACATCATTCATATAAACAAGCATATTTTATGTGCTTATTTCAGAATAGGAGCAAATTAAAAGGCCTAAAGCTACTGTTTTACAAGTCTGTCTCTATGCAAAGTTTCAAGTCGAAATTCGAAAACCAATTTTTCTGTTATCTCAGCATTAATCTCAAAAGTATCGTAAAATTCATGTATCTCCATAGCAATAAGCTAAGCGCATCAACTCTTTTCATAATGCTCATAACTCATTTGAGCCTACATAATGCACATCATCTCAGTTCCAAAGCCATTGAATAGTTAGAGGACTTTAACAGTTAGAAATGATTCATATATCTATATATTTGTAATTTGTATAGAGAAATTCAAATTGTTTTTCCCGAATATCGTCAACCTTTAATTAAAGGAAAATCAGTTGATGAATATGTTCATAAAACAGCAACATTGTGTCTTCTTGGATCCATACATGTACGATCAAAGAAAGGTATTTGAAAAGAATGTTCATTTAATAAAATTGAACGAAACATATCCATTGGATATCGCAAGATAAAGAAAGATTGAGCATTTATTTTTAATAAATCCTTTGATATGTCTCATCAGCAACTACAAAACAGTAGAATTCAAATTTTGATGTAAACTTCTGTTCACTTGAAAAACTAAAGTATTTCAAATTTGACTTAAAATTTGTATGCATTTTAAATTTATTTCTCATTAGTAGATCTGGTCCCACATCCACACTCAAAGCCTGGTTTTTTCTATTAGATTGTTTTGAAAATAGTTTCTTGGTCATATTGGAGACGAATATCCTTCATTGTATTATACGATCATAGATTTGTACTCTGCAATCTAGCAGCAATATTGCTAATATCTTTTTTCAAACTAGATTGAAAGGCGAATGATTAGTATTTGTAAGAGAAATGAGAAACAAAAACTCTTATATATATATGTCGAAAGTTCAAAACCTATCTGAATCACAAAAGGAAAATTGTAGATCAATGACCGCAGTTATTAGTAGCAATATAATTCTGTATATTGTTTTTTTTTTATAACTCAGGATCTATTATTCAAGCAATAATACAACATGGATTTGAAGTACGTTACGAAAAAACGTATACATTTCGACCGGATGAAGTTGAATCATTATATATTAAACATCGTAACGATGAGTTTTTCAAAGCATTAGTTGAAGCCTATACAGAGTAAGACAAAATTTGATAATTAATGAATTTCTGTGAGTATGATGCATTTGAATAGTGGTCCTTGTTTGCTACTTTATGTAGCCAAAGAAAATTGTGTAGCAGATTTTTGTGAAATTCTTGGTCCATTTTCACGTGAAGAGTTTAGTAAAATGCCTGGAACGTATGTTTATTTCATTTCTTTTTCAATACAAAGTCATTTAACATTTCATTTAATAGACTTCGATATGATTTTGACGAAGTGACAATACCTGTGGTAAAAACAAAAGAATTTTTTTTCTTTAATAATTATGATTATACCTCTGAAACAATAAAATTTAGACGACAATTCATGGTTCTGAAAGTATTATTGATGCACGAAAAGAACTTGAACAATTTTTTCCATATCAACAAACACTTACTGTTATTAAACCAGGTTTAACTCCAAATCAAAAAAGTATTTAAATTAAATAAAACTATATGAATATAAATTCATCAAATTTAGATGATATTCTTAAACGATTAAATTTAAATGGTTTTACAATTATGACTAAAGAAACAAGACATTTAACAAAAGATGTTCTTACTCAATTCTATGCTCGACATCAAGGCTTACCTTGGTTTAATGATTTTATTCAATTTATGAGCAGGTAGACAGAAATTTTAATTTTGTTTTTGTTTTTAATAATCATATCTAATTCACAGCGATGTTTGTGAAATAATAATTCTTGCACGAGAAGATGCTGGTAAGAAAGTATTTAATTATTACTATTATAAAACTGATTACAAATAGTAAGAGGCCAGTCATAAAGTCCATCGAAAAAAAAATTGGCCATGGAGAAAGCGCGACAGATCAGATGTATCTGAACATCCAGACTAATGTCCTGCAACTTGGCCGGGTACCCGAATATCACCCGGCAATTAATGAAATCTCGATGTTTCAATATAATGTTTCAAATTGATATTTATAGAAAATCAGAGGAGTGAAAATTCATTGGATCATAATTAAGCAATTTATTGTACTTGAGAGTAGGTCACAGAAATGAAAAGTAATACTGTTTTACAAAAAAAATCCGTTTTTAATGAAAACTCATATAAAGATGATGATGAACTAAATGATGAAAGAACTGAATACATGGAGAAGAAAATGTATTATCAGGATGGAAAAAGTATTTATATATGAATCTACAATTATGACGCTTGACGCCAACACTGCGTTCTGTTTCAGCATCATCAACAATAAGAAAGCGTATATTTAACGAAATTGATCAAATTTTAGAAGTCGAAAGATACTAAGGAATCCTGACTCACTTGTTTGTTTTGTGGAATTTGGAATGATCTAATTTTTTGTTGCTGCTTATGGCAGAAACTAAATAGTATACTTTTTGATATAAAATAAAAGTTTGTTTAGTATCTTTTACAAAAATTTCTAATTAAATTAGTATTGATCAATATTTTCAAAAGAATAACTTTGTCGGTATTTTACGACGTATTATTTACGATTTAAATCATCTATATCAGTCATTTATTACAGAAAACAGTATATTAGAGCAAATAGGCTCTTGCTAAAAAAGGAGTTTGAATATTAGATCAGTCAAAGTTGCATATAGATGAGAAAAGTCAAAAAATACGACTCTTACTTGAATGTCTTTTAAGAAAAATGCTGTATCGATAAAACTTAAAATTTCCATTTTTTTAGTTCAAGCTTTACGTGAAATAATGGGTCCTGTTGATCCTGTACGTGCAAAAACCGATGCACCAGAATCGTAAATTATTCTAATTTTTAAAATCAAAATTATAGTGTTTAATTAATTGAAGAATTCGAGCAATTTATGGTTTGGATATAATGCGTAATGGTTTACATGCATCATCAAATAATAAACATGCACGTGAAGAAATTCGACTACTTTTTCCTGATTATGAATTCATTAAAAGTAGACCAATACCATTTCATTCGAATATTTTAACAAGTTTGTATTTGTATTTATTATGTTTTTTTTGTTGAATTAATTATTTCATGTTCATTTAGCTGATTCGGTTATTTCGAATGATTTACCAATTCATGATGAAAATGATTTGTATCATCTTGAATCACATGGTAAAAAAATAATAAAATTAAATTAAAATAAAATTTCAAATTTTTGTTTTTGATGAAGAAATCATATATGAATTAGCTGTACATACACGTACAAATGATAATGAAAATGAAGAATCAGCAGTTTTTCTTACATTAGTCGGTAAATTAAATGAAACAAAAAAATGTCTTCTTCAATATGCTGATAATACTATTCATCCTTTACAATCGAATCAAATTGATTTATTTCATTTTATTGATCAAGATATTGGTGTTGTAAGTGAATAGATATAATCAAATGAAAAGAATTTTATTTTATTTCTTTTTTATAAAAGCTAAAAATGATTAAATTTTCACATGATGGACGAGGTTTTCCAGATAATTGGTCTTTAGCTAATGTCGAAGTTACAATTCCATATCAAAACAAGATATTTAAGTAAAATAAACTTCAATTTATTTTATATTAAATTAAATATATTAATCTAGATTTGATATTAATGAATTAATCAATGAAGAAAAAGCTAAAATTGGTTATCCAGTAACTGACATTACAGGTACATCATCGATTTTTATTAATTTCAAGAGTGTCCTGAACGAGGAATGGCTCCTAGTCTTGAGAAAAAACAAACTCAACCCTTTCCTCAGAGTTCGGTGAATTTTAGCAAAAATCTTCCGCTCAGTCAGTCTCCTAGAGTTCTCGACCTCTCCTCCAATCCTAAAAACCTCGAAAAATTCCTGATTATTTCTATAGATTTCTTACATTTATAGATATTGAGACTACGACTAATGGTAATTGTGCTATTATTATTCAAACAGGCAGTGCTAAATATGCAGGTACATCAGCAGATTGCAGGTATGATTTTGTATTCTTTTCTTTTGTTAACATTCTGAACAAAACAAAAATATTTTCTATAATACAAGACAGTGGTGAACTGACAGCTGAGCAAGGTGTGGCAATAGCTACACCAATGATTGGACAAAAATCGTTGAACAAGACAATTTTTCCAACAATAGTCACACTAAATATTTTGGTTGTAACCCATCACTGAATACAAAAAATTAGCAAAAAGAAAACAAAACTTTTTACTACATTAATGAGGAAATAAATAGAATCGATGGTTTATTTGTAGTGGTGAAAGATGCTTTAGGTCCGTATAGAAAATTTTCTTTCTATCAACAGGGATAGTGAAACGCATGCTCTATTTTTTCTATGATATTTCATCAATATTATAATGATAAAATTTTGATAAGAACCATTTGCTATGATATGTGACAATAACATTAAATCATATTGTTTTCAATGTGTATTAGAGAGTCATCAATCCACGTTTTCGTGGATCTGAACTCCAGCTTTTTCCACCAAAATTCAGTACCTTCAGTGTACATGAACAAATGATGAATCAACCTTTTAGATATTTATTAGCTATTCTGAGTTGTTTCATGTTGTTCAGCTTCCTATCACTTGATTCTTAATAAATTAAAAATTTTCACTTAGTTAAAAGGAACATTATGGTAACAAAAAAAAGTAATTCGATAGTTAATTGAAAAACAAAATTCGTCATTAAAAATCAAAATATGTTCTATACAATCAATGTAGGGAACTACGGGGCCACGTTTTTATAGACCCAAACCAGGCAATAAGTTTAAGTCTGAATTCGGACGAATGTGGAGTGTAGGTGTAGATTTATGTGTGAGACAAGAGAAAACCAACATCCAACCTCATGTCATAACAAAACAAGTCTTGTCGAAATTTTATTATTACAATACTAGTAAAAGAGCGATCAAATATCACACTATTGATTTTAATGTCACTGTTTATATAAAAAGAAAGTTTGAAGAAGTTTTCTATATAAAAACAAAGAGTACTTCCATCATTACTTTTCGATTATCTTAACTATGTTGTTATGCAGTTGAAGATATTTCCGAAATCTTACTGATATTATGTTTTTTTTTTTTGTAGTATTCTTTTATCGGGTTCACAAGGTGTTTATGCATTTCAACTTCATAAATCATTAACAAATCGAATACCATTTCAAAATCGATATCGTGATATAGTTCTTGTTCAAGTTGATGAACAACTTAATGATATTGAATATATTGTACTTGAACATAATAATGAAAATTCTGCACCGGCTTGGTTTGTTGATTTTGTTATTATTAAACTTTTACTGAATAAACAAGAATATTTGTATGTATTCAATTTGAATTCATAAAAACAAAATTCACTATGAGAAAAATATTTTCTAATTTTTGTTTAAGTTTTCCTGTTCATCGATGGCTATCAATAGATTATTTTGATGGAAAAACTAAAATAACACTTGCATCAGATATACAAAAAATACCATCGCATGAAAGTTCGATCATTATTTTATTTTATTTTTTTTCTGTAGTATCAAACGACTTGATTTAATAAATAGATTTATTAGAACATCGATCGAATGGTACGTATAAACTTTAATATTTATCTATTATTGTGTAGTTATTCGATATGAAATTTATATTGTAACGGGTTCAATGTTTGACGCAGCAACATGTTCACCTGTATGGATAACAATCAATGGAACAAGAGGTTCAATTATTAATAAATATCTTGAAATTGCTGAAAATGAATCATTTCCATTTGAACCTGATAACCAAGATTTATTCATTTTATATGATATAGATATTGGTGAAGTATAGTGAAATGACATTTCGGATTAAATTCAATAAAAAAAAAAACACAAGAATTTCTTTTCTTTCCTGTTTTCCTTAGGTTGATAAATTGATCTTAGGTCATGAAAATAGTAATGCTGAACAAGGTTGGTTTGTTCAATCAATATCTATTCATATACCATCTAAACAATATCAGAGTGAAATGTAGATATTTCACAGTTTTAAAATCAAATATTTATGTTATTTGTAGACTTAAGATTAATAAATGGTTGAATTCAAAACGAATAGATGGTGTACCATTAGTTGAAATTCAAATACGAAAACCTATAAAATGTAAGATAATAATAAGAATCGAGTCTCACAATGAGCCGTTTGGCCTAACTCAAAGAGATTTTTCTCCCGGGTTGTATTTACCTAAACTTTTGTCAAGTCGCATAGTTCGAATTTTTTACACCTTGAAACTGATAAGAATCTGGAATCTTTCTTATACGAACATTTTAGAAAGTCTCATTTTTGCTAATAAAAGCAGAATATTTATTGGTTCAATGGCATATCTAATCCGCACACAAGATCAAGTGTACTATCAGCTGAATTGAATGACATGGACGTTACCTGAAGTGGAAAAGTTGTTAAATGTACTACTAAAAATAGTAACTGATCTGACGCTTTGAAATTGATCAACGAGCATTTTATTCATGAAGCTTCTATTAATCAATGATAGTCTTCAAGAAGTCGGAGTACCTATGACGATTCAATCAGTCATTCGACATATATCTCATGTTGTTATTTTCAAGTAACAAAATTGTACGACCTTAATCAACTCGTCACCATTGTGATAATAAACTTTTTACAATACTCGAATAAATGACTGTAGCTTAAAGATCGAAATCTCTACTGTTTTTCTTTCGATATCTTCGTATTTCAGAAGTGTGTTGAATGACGTAACGAATAACTAACCCTTCCTACTGATTATATGACGAATAACTCATAAGAGTATAGTATAGAATCGATCGATCTCTTATTTATTCTAGGAAAAAATTTAATTTTTTACAATTTCTTTGTTAATGTAAGATTTTTCTAGCCATAAATATCAAATAAATCATTCTTAAACCCTTCATATTCTATAATCTATTTCCATAATAGTAAATCGAAACATAAAGAATCAACATACAGCTATACCACAACTGATGTCTAATACAATAATAAGTTCAACTCATGAATACGGTAAAAGACTTTAATTCAAACTTCTATTATTCTTGTATTAAATTCATTTATCTTTTTTTTTGTTTTCTTGTTCTTATTAGAATCATCTTATACGATATATATTTTGACTGAAGATTTTCAATCTGATATAAATAAACCAAATATTTTCATTAATTTAATAAATGAGATAATGTCGACAAATTATATGCGATTGAATAGTCAATTAGCAATTCATGAAAATTTAGAAAAGAATGTTTTAGGAAAATTCAAAGTATATGGAACAAGAATTGAAAAAGTACGATCTTTTGAAATTGAGCATATGAATTTTATTCTATCGAACGGATTCGAATATTTTGAGAGAAAATGTTGATCTTAATTTTAGCGCTTTTCAACAATATTTCCGATGAATCAAAAACTATGAGTTACGACCAAAATTTTGCGCATTTTCCAAATATAGAATTAGAAATCTCGTCTCTCTTTTTTTTTTCGAGAGTAGTAGCATAATCTGTCAATAGCTCAAAATATTATTTGGGACGAAACAAATAAGGGATCAGATATTCTGTGTTCTCTTTAGATATGAGATTGTGGATATAATGTTTATTTTTGTTCGAGAAAAATGAGGGAATTTTCAAAAACCTTTAAAAATGAAATTGAATGGTAAACTGACAGACTTTTCTTAACCTGTGTAAGTCTTTTTTCGAAAGGGCTAAAAATTATCTGTGTCGATCGTTCTGTCAAGCGAAGACTTCTTAACAAAATGTTATATTGAACTAAGTTGTAGGTTTGTTTTTCGATCTTTCAAAGATCATCTCATTAGTCTTGAATAAAAAGACTGTGACAAAATGTCTAAGCTCATATTGAGAAACAAGACCAAATTATAGTTCTAATCTATCACTTTTGATTCATTGGAAACAGTTTTCAAACAAGCGAAAGTTTTCTCGGGAAACTTTCGGCTCACTCGTTATACTTTTTCAGATTTATTTTGTAAATAACAGATTACATTGATTATATAAGTTATACGTGATTCTTTTCTAGATCAATACGATTCGTCTTCTTATTCGTATGTTAAGAAAAAAACAATGTCAACAAGAAAAATAATCTTTTTCCTAATTTCAGGTTCACCTGATCAAATGACACGGTGGTTACCTCGTTTTATTCTGGTTATAATCGATGATACACAACAAATATTTCAGTAAGACATATTCGAGAAAAAAAACAAAATTCTTGTTTTTCTTTTTCTATATAAAATATTTCTTAAGGTTTAACAATTCAAAATGGTTTCCTTGTTCAAACAGAGATAATTCTGAAACAAGTATTATTCAATTAGATGCAATTCGAACAGAATTATCAAATAAAAATTCTAACAATTCTCTTCAATCATCATTCGAAGAGCTTCAAAATATCAATACAAAAATGTCAAATATGAGCATTCAACAAATTGAAAATCAATTAGATACAATCAAAACATTGTATACGAATGAAACCGGAAATATTGTTATTGATAAACGAAATTTAGACGAATACAATGAATAAACAAATAAATAAAAGATTTCTTCTTTAAATTGAGAAAATATATCGAATTTTATTTAGATTACTAAATGATAAGTTACAATTGACTTTTTGTTGAATTGACCTTAATCTTCTACAGTGTCGTATCCAGAATGGTAGTGGCGTCCCTACAGAGACCCAGTTGATCCTTTCGAAAGAAAAAATTTATATTAAATATTGTCCTTTTGAATCTATATAAAAAAATTTCTATTAGAGATCTTAGTATGGATTGTTGCAATTAACTAATATGACTATACTTATTCATGACATCTTTTCAAATTATATAATTTGTATATTACGGATTCACTAATACAGCATGATCAATCTGTGTAAGCCATCTAAGAAAATGCGACGATTCATATTTAATTATTGCCATTGAATAAAACACTTTATATAAATATTTAATAAAATTTCGTATTAATTATTAATAACTACTTTGATTAGTTACAGATAGAAGAGAAAGAAAATTCTATTTGTTGTGCTACAAAGAAAGTCTGTCTTTTATTACATTCATATATAGTTACTGTTAATATTATCCATTTAATATTTTATTTTGCGTATATCTCTAAACCTGGATGAACTAGAATGATCTGGTTTTCATCAAACTATAGATCATAGTCTCTAGTATACTAGTAAAAAAATGTCAGGTCATCGATTGTTCTATTTAATTTCTATTGACAATATAGTTACTGCAAGCTGTTTTCTCATTCTTCTAAAATTAGCCAACAACATGTTTTTACAATCTGTTGCATGCCTATTGTCAATTGAAATTTTCTTTATAATATATAATTCAATAGAATAAATTATGTTCTAAGTCAAGAGTACTCTCTATGAAAGCATTTCTTTGAATGTAAGTTAACAAAAGACAAGGGTCCTTTTGACCTAAATAGAAAACTTTCAACAAAACACATTTTTTGTTCATATAATTTTAAGTTAGTTTTATTGTTCAATATATCAATAGCAAGAATATTATGAATTGCATAAGATAATATTTCATGTCGAAAAATTGTGTTGATCATCTCCAGTTTATAGTGATTTTGTCGTACGGTCTTATTCGTGAATTCAATAAGATATAAAAAAAACATTGTTTTAACAACATAAATTTGTAGAGAATCTTTTTCAGTATAAAATTCTTATATAGAAAATCAAAACTGATTATACCATTTAAGTTAAATATCTTCATCACATTATAAATAGCAGGAATTGAAAGCTTACCATTATCCTAACAAGAGATTGGATATGTATCTCACCAAACAAAGACATATGAAACTAAACTTAACATAACATAGCAGGCTGTTCTAAATGTTATCTTATATCTACATCCAGGTCAATAACTTTAGCGTTCAGGACCATAGACTTCCGATCGGAAAACTTCAATTCATGGTAGGAAATTGGAAACAACATCCGGATCTTGTATGGTGATGCTGACTTTATTCGATTATAGTCGGTTGCGGGTGGAACTGGATGAGTTCGATCACCAAATTCCATCATCAGACTTCTACTTTCAAGTTCCTACCATTTTTCGGTCAAACCTCATTTGCCTCAGGATAGACATCACGTATAAAAATTAGTTATACTTTAAAATGAGATATGCACTTAGACTGTTACTGAAACTACAGTAAGCTTGATACTCGTGCTGTTGATAATATAACAAGGGTATTAAAGATAACTGATATAATCGATGTTAATTTCAAATATTAGCGTTTTAAATGCAAAAAGATTCTCTAAAAATTTACGCTATTAGCACATGTCTTCATACCTACTTCAATATGTGAATGTGTCTGTACATATTGTAGAGGATCAAAAGAATTTTTTTTTCACTATGATATATCTATTCAAATAGAATATTTTTTGCAATTCGTAATATTCTTGCTATTGATATATTTAACAATAAAACGAGTTAAACATAATATGAACAAAAAGTGTTTTTTTGTTGTTGAAAATTTCCTGTATAGTTTAGAGAAAAAAAACATTGCCTCTTTAACTCTCAATTAAAAGGAAGCTACCAAAATTAGTACTCATTATCTAAACGACCAATCGTTCTATTCAAGTATTTATTGTAAAGAAAATATCACCTTACAATAAGTGCGCAATAGTTTGTAAACACAAGATAAAATATGACATGTCGTAATTCTATCATTAATATAATAACTTAGACAGATAAATGCATAAAAAGTGAAATTCTTTACTAATATATTAGAGACTATGGACTATCCACTGAGAGAAAACCACATGATTCTAGTTCATTTGAAACATCTTTACTTTAATTACAGCGCCCTCATTTTTATACAATACTATATGTGTAAATTACACCAATCGGTATGAAGATATGACTAAAACACGTGCGCTTGTAAACGGTGAAGAATGTGCCAATGCCTGGAGAAAGGAAAGATGCTTTTCTTTTCTTTCACCATCTGTTCAAACAAACGCCTAGTGTCAATATTATTCGTATGATAATACTAGCGCCATCTATGAAAATAACTCATTTCTTCATTTAATTTAATTTTCATTTTTTTTCAAAAATTTTTTCTCGATATTTTTTAAATATATTTCTCTACTACTACTTCTTCTGTTTCAATTTTTTATTCAAACAAAGATAAAAATGCAAGTATAGAGAGTAAATCCTCATTAATGGCTTCGGTCATTGTATTCTATTCTATTTTGTGTGCTTATGTGCTGGCTGCCTCCATCATCATTATCATCAAATGTGTGTTGTTTTTTTGTTTTTATTTTTTATTATAATTTTAATTCATTAATTTCTTCAAAATTTTATTTTTATTTTTAATAGTTCATCGAATATGATCCTCGTATAATTCTTATAATAAAAAACCAAAAAAAAACTTGTCTCATTCGAGCATTTTATTGACAAATCTTTATTCAAAATTTTTATAATCAAATATAAATTATTTTATTTAAAATGTTTCTTCCACCTATTGGTCAACCACCATTATCATCATCATTACACGGAAATGAAACAATGAATGGTACAACTATTATTAATACAAGTACAAGTTCATCAGGTTCATCATCAACAAATCAAATTGGTCTTCCACCACCACCTCATATGACATCAATGCCATCAACACCACCTGGTACAGGTATAATGACAATGCTTAATCCACCACTTGATTTATCACCACCACCACGACCAGATTTTGGTCGCGAAGGTCGTTCAATTAAATTACGTGCAAATCATTTTTCAATACGTATTCCACCTATACTTATACAACATTATGATCTTAATATACAACCAGATAAATGTCCTAAACGTGTTAATCGTGAAATAATTGATACAATGGTTAATAAATTTCAAAATATATTTAATACTCAACATCCAGCATTTGATGGTAAAAGAAATTTATATACAAAAGATCTATTACCATTTGGTCGTGAACGTATTGAACTTGAAGTAACATTACCTGGACCTGGTGAAGGACGTGATCGTTGTTTTAAAGTACAAATTAAATGGGTTGCACAAGTTAGTTTAGTTAGTTTACAAGAAGCTTTACAAGGACATGGTCCACCAGTACCAAACGAAGCTGTTTCAGCACTCGATGTTATTATGCGACATTTACCAAGTATGAAGTAAGTAATTAATAAGAAATTTAAAATTCAGTTGTTTTTTTTGTTTTATAAAATTGTGTATTTAATATTTGTTAAGAATTTATAGGTAGTAAGTTTTTATCGAGCTTTTTATATTGACTTTATTGATTTCATATAGTTAAGTGAAGAATATTTGTTGATGATTTATTTCTCCTTGTTTAGATATACACCAGTTGGTCGTTCATTTTTTTCACCACCTGATGTTCAATATAATCCATTGGGTGGTGGTCGTGAAGTATGGTTTGGTTTTCATCAATCTGTTCGACCATCATATTGGCGAATGTCATTAAATATTGATGGTTAATATTATTTTATTTATGATTTAGAATTATCTATTCATATATTTTCTAGTTAGTGCTACGGCTTTTTATAAATCACAGCCTGTCATTGATTTTATGTGTGAAGTACTTGATATACGAGATATTCAAGAACAACGACGTCCATTAAATGATGCACAACGAGTTAAATTTACGAAAGAAATAAAAGGTTTGAAGAAAATAATTTTTTTTTCAATAAAAATGAAAGCTAGTTTACTGTCAAATAGATGTCGTCACTGAGAAAAAAAAAAAGAAAGAATTTATACTATTATCCGTAAATACGTTTGATTTTTTGTTTCTTGTTAGTAATTCAAAGAAAACTTATCCATAAGACAGAATACTGTGTAACATTGTCCGTTATAAAAATAGGTCAATAGCAAAGATCATATATATGAATTTCTATGCAATAAATAGATCATATTCATGCTAAATTACTTTATTCTAACTGTTCTACCTTTCGGAGGACTGCTGTGCAGTTGCTTTCATGGTATAAGTTTCTATACTCGATATAAGAGCATGTCTAGAAAAAAGTTTATTGTATGAGCATAGTGAAATGAAGGTTACCCTCGATTCCGAGGTTTCAAGAGAATAGTTCATTAGAAAAATTCAAGATTTTCATAACAAGTAGAATTGAAGTTCGAGGGTGTTGTCTAGAAGTGAAACTGTTACTGTCGTAGTGCTGTCTTCTATGAGATACTGGAATTCCATTAGCCCCAAAATTCGCTGTTGTTTTTCCGAGATGCTATATTCTATCGTGCTAAAACGTTTTTTGTTGTTGCAAATGTTAGACATTGTTTTGGGATGAGTTTATAGTTCAACACATATGTTCCTGAAATATTTCTCAAGCACATGTTTAAATTTGTTAGATTTATTAACTATAGATAGAATAAAAAAATTCATAATAATTTTAGGTCTCAAAATTGAAATAACTCATTGCGGTAATATGAAACGTAAATATCGTGTTTGTAATGTAACACGAAAGCCTGCACAATATCAAACGTAAGTTAAAAATGAACTAATTATAAACAAAAAAATTATATTTTCCTTTTTTTTTTTTTATTTAATTTAAAATTTAGATTTCCTCTTCAACTTGAAAGTGGTCAAACAGTTGAATGTACTGTTGCTAAATATTTCTATGAAAAACATCGTATGAAATTACAATATCCACATTTACCATGTTTACAAGTTGGTCAAGAACAAAAACATACTTATTTACCACTTGAAGTATAAATTTTGTTAAATGAATAATTTAATTTATTTATTTATTTTTTTTCGTTTTCATAATAAATTCTTCTAGGTTTGTAATATTGTTCCTGGACAACGATGTATTAAAAAATTAACTGATATGCAAACATCAACAATGATTAAAGTATGTATTTAAATTTAAATTTTCATTTTTCTAAATAAGAGATTTTACTATTTCGAATATATGTATATTCATATATACATTTGTAGTCGAGTGAGGTAGAGTGACTTTTTTTTTTTAATTGATAAGCATGTTTCTTTTCTTTTGAATGAACTTCTAAATAAATACATAAATATATATATATCTAATATGAGATCGTTCCTATCTATATGTCATTATAGAGTCAACAAGATTCACATCAGGTAATACCAAAAACAAACTTTACACAACAATATACACGTGTGTGCATTGTTACTTGTGTCTTTATTTGTGCGCGCGAATAGACTTTTTTTTTTTTGCCGATATAATAAAAACATTTGAGCACATGCGCAAATATAACCGCTGTTTGTTTGGGATGAATATATAAAAACAAAAAATAAAATATTTTACTTAGCTAAGTCTATTTACTGATAAATATATTGTTAATGACAATAACATAGATAGGAACGAATGTTAATAATGAAAATCTTAAGAAATATTCGAATAATTTTAACCAGCAATTAGCACGTCTCTTTTATCTTCTTTGGTATGCAAATTTTTATTTTTCTTATTAATTTATTTCATTTACTTTTTTTTTTTTTTTTTTTGTTATAAAGTTTTGCTTCGTTTTTATTAATAAATACTTTTTGATTATGTTTTAGGCTACAGCACGTTCAGCACCTGATCGAGAAAAAGAAATTAATAATTTAGTAAGTTTTTTATTTATATTTATGAAAATTTGAATAGTATTGAATTTAATTAGTTTTATTAAAATAGAAATTATCTAAATGCAAAATAGAAATATTTATCACAATCACGTTTTCCTAATTTTATAAACATGAAGTCCCAAATGGGAATAAATCTCATGCATAGAAAATATAAGACAACTATTACTGATGCATTTTTTTTGTATATCACTGTAGCAGTAGTATGGATAAACATCTTTGATAGAAGAGTAAATTTAATATTCAAGACTTAATGTCACCAACAGAATCTTACAGTCATGTTTACTGGCTCGTCTAAATTTACATTGTATTGTTCTCTGATATTCTGTGTAGTATTATCAAATAAGTTTTAAACCTTACTGTAACTATAAAAGATCGTATTCATTGACGATCATTATCTGATATATCATTAGTAACAAATCCAGCGGTGAATGTATGAAAAAACTGTTGTGATTTTAGAGAGATTTCGTTTTTTTCTCCAAGTCGCAAAGGTTTTATTTCAATAAAATTGCTAAATTTTCTAAAAATAAATTGTCGATTTTTAGCGTTCAAGAATTGAAATCTATAGGTGACTTGTCTAGATATGTGCGGTTTTAGTCTATTAATCACCGAATCAGTATAGTTAATGCACATAAACACCCGTGTTCATTCAAGCATTCGAACAGGCCACTACAAAAATCAAATATTTTCTTAGAATAGAGGTCTTTCAGTTAAAAATATCGAAATTAATCTAAGATATTGTAAGCTTTATCATGCGTTCATCGTTAGTCAATCCATATATGTGTAGGACAATGCAAAGCTGTATGTAAGACTAGTAACAACCGTCACCTTTTAAATCCTTAATTATCAGCGTGATCAACTTTTCCTGACATCTTATTTTATTGATATTTTTGAAACATTCAAGCGATGCTTAAGACACGATGTAATTGTTCAACTTTTTACTGCTTTCTTAGACATTACTTGTTGCTTAAAAAGTACATTTATCTTTTTAATTCACTAATTCTGATGTTTCTAAATGAAGATGCCCACAAGGAAAATGATGTCTCCTTTCCAATATAATCACATTCAGTCCGTCGGATATTTATATATGGAAGAAATCATTTTGAACTCCATAGATTCCCATCTCATACATTACATTGTTTGTATTTTTATTTACAAAAATTGAGTAACGTCTCTCTAATAAGTAGCATTAGTCCGATAATTTGATTGCATATTTTCCAATACAATGAACAGAGATTATTGACTGAGCGTTGACATTAGACAAATGAATAAAAGATATTATTCCAATACAAACAACCTAATAAACATTTTCAACGGCACATAATATAAATAGTTCAATTCAGTTTGTTGTCTATAAGTGACCGTAGATATAACTCGAATAGTAGAGTCCGAGTGCATCTCGACAGTCTCTATCAAATAGTCACATGAATTATAGTTTTGAAATTGTTTTTTATATCAAAAAAAAAAAAATTCATTACATAAAACTCTAATAATTCTTTAGGTACGCAAAGCTGAATTTAATAATGATGTATATGTAACTCATTTTGGTATTAATATTTTAACTAATATGACAGAAGTAATGGGTCGTGTATTAACTGCACCTAAAATTCAATACGGTGGTCGCGTGAGTATTGTTTTTTTTTACATCTCGTTTTAAATAAATTGTTCTTATGTTCACGTTTTTTTTATGTTTTTGTTTTTAATTTTTAGACAAAAGTTGTTGTTACACCCAATCAAGGTGTATGGGATATGCGTGGTAAACAATTTCATACTGGTATTGAAATTCGTACATGGGCAATAGCATGTTTTGCACCACAACGTAATTGTAATGAAGCATCACTTCGAACATTTACACAACAATTACAACGAATATCAAATGATGCCGGTATGCCAATTGTTGGTCAACCATGTTTTTGCAAATATGCAACTGGTATTGAACAAGTTGAACCAATGTTTAAATTTCTTAAAACAACATATAATGGTTTACAATTAATTGTTGTTGTTTTACCTGGTAAAACACCTGTTTATGCTGAAGTTAAACGTGTTGGTGATACATTAATTGGTTTAGCAACACAATGTGTACNTCTTTTGTTCTCTTGAATGTCGCAGTTGGACGAGTAAATAAATATTCTTCTTGTAAATTTTGTGCGTACAAGAGAATGATATTTGAGAAACAAAATCAAAAATTTTGGTAGGTCTTGAACTTCTCTATCTTAAGAAATAAGAGAGAATTTTTCGTATGATTAAGAACATACTTCTATATTTTTTTTTCTCTGAAAATGTCGTGATTGAGATGACTAAATTTTATCTTACTATTCGTACTAATTCAGGATACATTACAACAGCACCTGCAAGTGGCACTGGTCCATCGTTTTGACTTGCTGAAATTTGTGTATTTGCTTCATCAAGTGTAGCAAAATAATTACTTTTTGCTGTTGTAACTGTTAATGTATAATTATTTGCAAGAAATTCTATGAGAATCAATCAAATTTTTTTTTTTTTTTTTTTTTTTAATTCTCATATAAAATCTTTCTACTTACGATTACTAGATTGTGTTGGCTCAGTTGTTTCTATTACATTTGTTGGATTATCCAATTGTAATGAAGAAACAATACCTATTAAAATAAATAGAAATAAATCATTGAAACAAAAACAAATATTTTTTGTACGTGTAATTATTTCTATATTTTCAATTGGAATATATGGAGTATAAACAATTACTGAATCAGAAAGGGTATAAGAAAGATTTGTTGATTGTATAAGAAAATGTATTGGTGTTAATAGTTGATTATTTGAACATAACTGTTTAAAAATAATTGATCGACGATGTGTACTACATGGTTTACATTCTCGTGTATATACAATCAAAAAATCTAATGTAACACTTAAAATAAATATTATTAAATAGATAAAACTTAAATTCTTTTCTTTTCACCTCATATTACTTGGATCATCAGTATACGATATCATTTGCAATATATAAATATTAAATTTATCTCGGTTATTACCAACTTTTAATTGTTGCTCAAGCTATATGATCATAAATAAATTTATTTTGACTATAATTAAATATGACTTACTGCATACTGAATTGACGAATTCATCATTGACTGAGCTTCATCGAATGTTAATATTTCTTTTATATTTGATAACAATTTAAATCGAACTAAATCTCGTTTTACTAATGATCGACTCATCTGTAAAACATAATTATTCATTCTAACAGCTAGAAAAATAAACACAAGAATACGCAAACATTTTTATTTTGTTTTTTTTTATAATTTTTCAATCATATCAATAAATCATACTAGTTAGAATAAAACGTGTTTTTGGTACTGATTTATTTTCTATATAAAGTGGAATGATTGACAAGACAATCATAGATGCCATAAGAAATGCAAAACCAATAAAAACAAATGTTCTTAATGAAGGCATGATTATTTGTAACCAATATTTTCTAAGAATAATTATATGTAAACACATTGATGATCTTCATATCTAACTTACATTGATTCAACTCTTTGTCTCTTTGATGAAATCATCGTAGGATGTTTATTTGCAAAAATCAATTCAATATTCAACAATTTATACTTTCTTTCTTTTTAGTTAATTATATAATAACTGAATATAAACATAAATTTCCTTTTGGGGACATTTGTACATTTTGATGTCCAAAATTGATATTCATTATTTGGAGCATCAAGATAAAAAAAAAAAAGCAGAAAATTATTTCATTTGCTTTTAAGAAATGTGTATGTTATATGTAACATGGGTAGTATCATATTACTTAAAAAAACAAAAAGAAAAAACATGAAAGAAATGTTTGAATGTGTTTTTATTAATGCCATCTTTTAAAGCCGAAACAAAAGAACATAGTTGATTTTTTATTTCGCACATATTTTTAAATTTTTTTGTTTTTAATAAAAAAAAAGAAAGTTGAACTGATGGACCGTCATAAAGCAACAAGTCAAGCATCCATTGATAGAAGGTCCAACACTACTAAAGAGAATAGTATTCTATCAATCAATAAACACAATCAAGTACAAAATGAAATTGATAATCTTATTCAACATGGAATTCTTGATTCAATATATAAATATGATCCAAAACTTGATTTTATTTGTTCACCAATTATTAGTCGTGATCAAGTTATTAAACAAACTCGTCGACAAACATGTGGACTTATTTGGAATTCAATTCGATCACCAGCAATAAGTAGATTAGTAAGTGATGAACATTCTGGTGCTTTTGTAGAAATTATTCGAACACCAACAGAATGGTCACGTTATGATACAGATCTTCTTTTACTTAAAATTCGACATAAGAATTTTCTTAATGGACTTGCTTTACGTGATGAATTTGTTCGTGTACTTCAAGTTATTCTCAAACGTGATTTTAATGAAGAAACAAATACTGAAAAAAAAAATTCTTATGAATTAAAAGATGTTGATTTTACACGAAATATGATTCAATTAGTATTTCATAGTCGACAAGAAACAGAATTAACTCTTATTATATCTTTAATACTTTTAGTTGAATTTGATGTATCTTGTATAGATTTTTTTCATGATACATATACATCACTTTGTGATCATAATGATTTTAATGATTATTTAAAATATCATCCAGATGTAAATCGTACACGTTTAACACCATATAATTCAATAAGATTTCTATTTGATTATAGTTTAACTGAAGCAAATCTATGTGAATATTTCTTACAAAAATCAAGTCCATTATCATCAATGTTAACAGGTTTTTTAAAATTACGAAAAGAATGGGTAAAATATGTTCAACGTGCATCGAAATATGCATCAGATACAATTAAAATGCAAATGCATACAGAAAAACATCGTCAATCAACATGTTCAGTTAATTCAACACGATCTGGAACATCTAATGCATCAACAATGAATAGTAAATTTTCTATTTTAAATTTCGAAAAGATTTATTTTTTCTTTTTAATTTTTCTTTCTTTTGTTATTTTTTAGAAATTACACAAAGTAAAATACCATTATCAACGGAAATTGAAGTAGCATTTGAATTTCTATTTTCTGTATCATTACTTCGTCTTTTATTTATAACTGTTTGTACAAAATATAAACAATTTGGTGCATCATATGAAAATGATACAGCATATGCTATTGAAAAAGCTTTACAATTATTTGGTGATGCTTTAGAAAATAATTATCTTGAACATCCATTTCTTAAAAATATAAATTTTTTACCAGATTCTTTATTAACACATGAAATAAGTGTTAAAATTGGAATAAAAAAATTAATTAAAGAAATGCAACGGGATTGGAAACGGAATATACGTCGATAGAAAAAAAAAATCTGAATCAAACTTGTTTTTTTGTTTATAACTTGTATTTTATTTTTTTGTACCTCAATAAAAATACGCTTAAGAAGTTGTTTTTCACGAGAATCATTTCTTTGCAAAAATAATCAACGACTCTATATATATATTTATATATATATTTGCACAAGAGACATTGCGCGTTTTTGTAAGTAACAACAGAACACAATAATACAAAAATAAAGCGATAACCTTGAGTCTTTGATTGTGCCATTTTGAAGAAGAGAGTGTGAGAGAGACAAAGAGAGAGAGAGAGAAAGATCGCTTGGCAATTGTGGTTTATTTTTTGTCAACAAAAACATTCACCAGGGAAGCTTTCTTACGTGCATATTTTTCTAGTAACCTTTTTTTCTCTAAAACACGTCAACATATAAACACCTCCGCTCGTTTCTTCCTGCTGATACTTTTTGTAAAAAATAACTAGGCGGCTTCTTCGCTTCGTCATCTTCATCATCATCATCATCGTCATCATCATCATCCTTTTCTTCCTATTTTTTCTTGTCACATATCTTATATGAATAAAGAAACGACAACGACGACAGTGACGACCCCCTCCTCCTAACGACGACATAAAGGTGAAAAGCATAAAGAGCGTTGACGTCAACGTAGGCAACAAATCAACGACATTCACATAGAAGCAGTCATTTCATCATGTTGACAGCAACAAAAAACAACGTTGCGTTGCTCATCTAACCATATGTAGGTAAATAAGCCAAAGGTAAGCAAAGATTATTTATTTCTCATTCAGGAATTAGAAAACTTCGATAGTTTATATAATAAAACATTTTTGTTTAGTAATTATGTAGTCATAGATAAAGTTTAGTATGGTATTATGATCTCATAGAATATAAAATATAGATGTTATAGTGTAACTACATCATCTGCTCACAAAATCAATTCTTTTTTTTGTGTGTTATTAATCATTGACTGTATTGCAATATCATATTCTTTATATATTTGTTTGCACCAGATTATTGTGGTGAAGTAATCATTTTTTTTTTGTTGCTACGTGCGATTCACAAAAAATAATCATTTCTCGGATGGCAGGCGGTGTACTTTTATAACACGCATTTTTTGATCAATATAAAGGAAAAAAAATGACTATCGAAATAAGAGAAGAGAAAAAAGAACAAGATTAATTGAGAAAATAAATGGCAAAATAAAATGCTTTTTTTTTTTTAGTAAAAAAATAATTTTTAATCAGATAATAAAATTTTTGTATGTATGAAGAACTTATTCAACTTGTTTTTGTTAAGATAATTTGTTCTCGAATATTTCGATATTCATAATCTTCACTTATTGTTCTGATTTATTTTGAAATCAGTGAACATTTTACGAATAAAACAGAAAAAGAAAAAATAATTAAAAAGAAAAATTTACCAATCTGTGATGGAAAGAAAAACATTAGTCTAATATGTCAGAGTGCATTTATGCATAATTTTTCTTTTACATGTAAAAAGGTAACAGGTTATTATGTTATTGGTTACCTCTTTTTTTTTTTTTTTCTTCAGTTTCTGAAAACACAATGTGTCATTACTATAAATCACGACAAGACATTTTAAATGATAAATTTTGACTAAGCATAGAAGACGTTGTAAAAGTAAATATCACGCAATGAGATAAAGAGATGACTTGACAGTCCTTTTATATAGAGATATAAAAAATATAACAAAAAAATCATTCTCTTCTTTCATATGTTTTTATTGTGATGAAAAATTCATTTTTTCTTTTCGTGATTAACACGCACATACACATTTTCGTTTTGTTTCTTTCGTCGCAGGCATAAACAGAAAGCTCATTTCTTTTCTCTTTCTTATTGTATGATTGTATGAGGAAAGGCCACATCAAACATATATCGACAAAAATTTTGATACACATACATCTACTCTCTTACATGTGCGTACAGTTCGAGTCTATTATATATGTTGACACAATTCTTGGTCGCGCCGACCACTGTTGAATATATATATCTGTACATATAAATGTGTTGATCTTGAACTACACAACGACTATACATTAATGACAAAGAAAAAGAAAACGATGTAGAAGATGAGTACTATAATAATTGAAGGTACTAGCTATTGTTAACTCAATCAATGAACGAACAATCGTCTTAGTTCAATTTTGGTCAAGTATTTATGGTGACGTCAGATTGACAAAATAACTGATGAATGTGAGTCGATCGATTATCCTTGACAGTAGAAAAAACAAAAGGTTGTTTTTCTTTATGACACATAAGTAAAGGTAATAGCTAGATACATTTATAATCGAAAACGATTGTTAGTGACCACGATTGAAATATATTCATGTACATATAATATAATAGTAAAAAAGACTGATTTCATAAGAGTGTAGAAAAAAAAAAGAAAAGTAATTATTCGTTGTATAAGAAAATACATTCAATTTTATTTTTAAAAAACAAGTAAGTAAAATGTCAAGAAAAATAAGAAGAAAAAAAGAACTTATTTGATCTTTTCAACTTTTTTTTTTCTATTGATTAAAAAAGGATAAGAAATGTTTATTATTAGGTGTATCATCCACTCTTCTTTGCCGGCCTCCAATGACCGAGAGTTATTTAACTACAGATATTATTGTTATCATCGTTCTAGTCGTCGTACTAAGTATGTTTTAATTTATTTCAAAAATAAATAATCATTCGAAAATTTTTCCAGTTTTAATTGGTGCATGTGCTTTTTTTACACATTTTTATTGGACAAAAATTGGTGTTGCAGAAATATGGAATACAGCAAAATGGAGTTCAATGCGTAGTTCATTTTATAATACAATGGGTCGTTTTAGTCGAGCAAGTAGTAATAAATTAGGTTCTGAACGACCATTTTCTGCCGCATCTGTTTATTCGGATGATCCAGATGGTAGTGCATTACCAGCTCCATTACGAAATAAACAATCAAATATCATTACTACTTCGAATATTCAATCATTTTCAACATTACCCACTCAGCAAAAACCTGATAATATACGTCACAAATCAAGTAATCAAGTACAGCCGGTTCCTACTGTATCATATAATAAATCAGAAAGAACTAATTATGCAACTAAAATAGGACAATCTCCTGAAAATACAAGAATTCATAATATTCACGAAAACGACGATAGATCTCATCATGAGTCTGTTATTATTGAAACAAAACGTTTTTAAAAAAATAATATACGAGTCTTCATCTTATGATAAAAGATCGCCTCCTCCGTTTGTTTTTCAAAATTTTAATCATCTGTTTTTTTTTCTCTCAAAATATTGGTGATATTTGGCTTCACCTGGTGATAAAATTTTTTTCGTGTTCTTTATTTTTTGTCTTTTCATTTAACTGATGACTTGTGTTTTTTCCTCCATCTCTCTCTCTATCTTTGTGTTTCTCTATTTTTATGACGTATTACTTTTGTTATTTATGATGACGATGATGATTGTTCGACTATTTTTATGTCTAATTTTTTTCTTTACTGTGAATTATACATGCGCAATTGCGCTATTGTCTTTCGGTGATATTTGTTGTAGCTTTTAAATGCATTTGTATAATATATATGTATACGAAAGCTTAAAAAAAAAGAAGTATTAACTACTTTTTTTTTGTTTTTTAAATTTATTTATTTATTTATTTTTTTGTTTTTTGACAAGTCGAGCATACAGAATATACAAAATAAAAGCAAAATCACAGTTATACATGAGAGGGATGACTAGAAAAACTAGACGGTTGTTGTTCACTTTCCATACGTTCGCTAACATCCATTGAAGTATTTTCATATCCAAGACCTTGTCTATAATTACGATAATTGATGTTCACAGGTGTTGTTATGCCATCTTGATTTAAACCAAGACCATGACCAGGTGTCCAACCAATTTTTTCTAATAATTGATGACCTATATTTGTTGAATCAATTGGTTCAACAATATCATCTATTATACATCGTTAAAACAATGAATAGTAAAAAAAGATAAAAAATAACTTACGATGTTTATGAGGATAATGTTCACTTTTAACACGTTTATGACTATAACTGCTATGATGAGAACGACGAGTTTCTTTTAATAAACGAACATGTCGTTTTAGATGTGGATGTGTACAAGTATTCTAAAATTAAATTATTATCTAGATAATATATTTACATATATCAATATTATGATAGACATTTTAAGTTAAGGTTTACAGTTTTACTTTGAGGTCAACTTGTAGCCTTGATTTAAATGGATTAGTTAAATGTTATCAAAGAGATATTTATATTTTGAACTGTGAATATGAATATAGTATTAGAGTGATTGATATGAAGGAGTGAGAGAACGAAAAGTCATGCTAATTAAGTATTCACATGAGTGATTGATTTTTCTTTCATATGCTTCGATATGCTAATTTGGATAATTACATGTTGTTTTTTTTCTTTCTTTCTAATCAAAAACATACAAAATTGGGTAAGTACAAATACATACTCATACGTAAGTATTGTTTTTGTTTTACTCGTATGCGTACTCATGGTGCGAACGATTAATAATCGTACACGGTGAAATTCGCATTTGCTCAACTTCACAACAAAATTTATTTGAATAAAAATTAAATATATAAATAATAAAAAATTAGAGAAAAATTTTTGTTTTCATGTTGTTTTTTTATATACATGATTAGATAGAACTCGACAAATTGAATGAGAATATACGTATATGTTTGAATTATGACTTTTAGGTAGTTTTGAATGGTTTGATTTTCATGATATAACATTTAATATGCACAAAAAATTAATATATCTTTTTATTTTTAGAAAAACAAATCTACATTGCAATGGGATTGTAAAGTCGGATATATTCAGACTAATTATGAAAGATTAAATATAGGAAATCTATTCCAAAATTACTTCTATAGATTAAAATTTTTCTGACAAAACTAACTATTTCAGTTTTACATATCAAGTAAATTGAAAAATATTGAACAACATTGATCTTTAAAAAAAGTGCTTTACGAAAGCTAAATCATTCAAAACTATATAAAAAAAAAAGTATTTTTTTTTTCTGTCAAAAGCTAACGAGAAGAATTAAAAGATTATATATGCTCTTACCAATCCTATATATAAACAAACATAACGAAAGTTAATATTTTAACTTAATATTATAGATATCTTATCAAACTTTCACGGAAATCTGAAGAAATCAAAAACGAAATATATTTTTATCACTCATATCTATTTTTCATATTTTCATTTTATACAGCTACAATAACGGTCATGGTATCACATGAACAATCTCATTGATGAATAAATAACGAGAAAAACTAAGATATTGCGTTAACAAATATATTCTATTGGAGTCGATCAAGTTTTAGTGAAGTACTGAAATATCCAATTTAAGACAACTGAAAAATAAGATTTTAATATTTTCTACATTTATCAACAATGTCTAATAAACATCTAAACCTAATATGAATCTATATTATAAAAAAAAAATATCTTACTTTTGAACATACATTTCTTCGATTTCCTGTTAACATTTCTCTATTTACAAATGTATTAATTCGATTTTGTATTGTATTTTTTGAACTAGTTAACATCATACTTAATGCACCATTAACAATTTTTTGTAAGGTTCCTTCATTTGTTGTTAACATTTTTTCATCTTCATCATCATCATTATCATCATCATCGTCATTATCTTCCTTCCATGATATAACACGTGGTACACCACTTTCTTCTTTTGGCCAATCTGATTGTTCATCATCAGCTTCATTACTTGTTAAACAAGGATCTTTATCACTATCACTTAAATTTAAACTACTACTACTACTAATATTTGTTCTGAAAATACAAAAAAAAAAAATCAATTTAGAAAATAACATTTTTTTGCTTTGTTTTATTTAGACTTACAAATTCGAATCGTCAACATATGTCATATCATAATCATGTAGACTACTATTTCGTAAACGAAAATCATCATGAATAATAGCACGTGATCGTTTACGTTTACCACTAGAGTTCATAGTACTAAAAGCTAATGAAAATGATGATGATGATGAAGGTGTTGATGGATCATCATCAATATCGGCTTTTCGACAATTTCCTATATTTCGACCACTATTTCGTCGATTATGTAAATGCATATTTGTTGCACTATTGAATTGTTTCGCACTTGGACAACGTGTTAATTTAATAGGTTGTTCAGTTTTAAGTACCGACATTGATATTGACGGAATGATTGGTTTTTTAAATGGACGACGTCGTCGTCGCATTTCATCTGGTTGTGAAGTCGAATCAGATTCAGATGCAATAATTAAGGATGAGTGAGTTTCTAATAAATAAACAAAAAACTGTTAGCACAATTCCACCTGAACTAAAAATGTGAAACACGATGTAGTTACTGTTAATTGCTAAACACAAAAAGAATTGTTTTATTCTATCTATCTTGAGGTACATTTCTTCACCATACTTTCATATGATCCTCCAGAAATGCAATAAAGAACTAGTTTATTTTTTTTTTATAATGAAACGTTATTGATATACTGTCTGTGATGATCCAAATTTTATCTCTATATTTCAACACTCCTGTTAGATCGTATTTCGTAAAATTTTTTTAATTTATTCTTTTTTTTTTTTGCTTTTAATATTACTCGATGTCATAGGTATATCATCACCATCACTGGCAATCAATTGTTTATTGGTATTTCGAGTTCGTGTATTTTCTGGTGTTGTACTATCCGATGCTTCTGCTATTTGTTGTTGTATATCATTATTCGTAGGACGTTTTCGTCGTCGTTTTGTTTTTAATGTTGTAGAAAATGGTGATGAAGATGTCATGGGAAGATTTGATAAGGGTGATGTTGGAATATTAGCATCATTTAATGCACTATTAAGATCAGCAGCTAATTGATCCATAATTTTTTTTTGAATACAACGAATTTTATCTTTGATTAGAAAAACATGAGAACTTTCATCCATTCGAATTTAAATTAATAAAATGGCCTGTTGAGGAATATTTATCCAAATTTTTAAAAAGACATTGATCATCTAAAAATAAATTTTGAAAAAGAAAATAAATGACTTATTTATTTAAGAGAAAAGAATCATGAATTTTTTTGTTTTTATTGATAATTTAGAGTCAAAGTTTTTTTTTTGTTTTTCATTTGATAGATAGAATATTAAAGTGAAATAGGAAATCTTATGTTTACTATTAATTATTAACAAATGAATAAGAAATCTTAAACGATTACATCATCTTTTAGTTAATGAGTTTTTGATATAGTACTTGTCGGATTCAATCCAATGGTCTTTATTTTAATACGATCAGGTTTATATAAAATTGTATTTTAATCCTTTTTGAAATAAACGTCTATCAAATATTATTGTTTGGAGAACTTAATTTAAAGAATTTTAATATTAACTGCTAAAAGTTAATAACATTAATACGTAAGATGTAGCATTCGTTCGTTTTTGCATCTTCATGAAGAATTACTGATATGATTCTCTCGAGATCCATTTTTAAGCCCTTGGCTTTGGTTTAATCTATTATTTCATTGAAAGTTATGTTAGAATTTTTTTCTATTTAATCCTTACATCAATTTTAATTTGCAGATTTTTCTATTGAACTAATGGGTGATTGATAATGAATGGTCAGTTTCTTATTATCACTAAGTACTTTTTATTGAACAACAAAACTTAACACTAGATGTAATGTGAAAAGCTTTACAAATTACAATAAAATTTTTATTTTATTAATGTATCCCTTATTTTCAAAATAGAGAAAATTCTATGCAACAGATTTTCGACGCTGCGAACATGGTCATATTGTTTTTTTTTTGATAAACTATCAATTCGCTTGTTGTTTATCTCATTGGTTGATAATAATTCAATCATTGACGAAAAATATTTATTATTAGGACATCTCATACTGTAAGTCGACAAGAAGCAGGCGAATAAAGGAATATAAACTGAAAGTTTGATTCTCCAAAAAGAATTATGATATAGTTAGGTAGACTTTAAAATATTCTTATGTCTTCGATCATATTTAAAAATGTTGAAATGTATACTGAAGTTATTCTTCTACATACGTAGTCCGAAGAAAAAAGACTACTGAGCGACAATTTCATCTATTAACAAGACAACATGAAGTTACACACATGAATAATCATTAGCTAGTGTGAAGAGAATTTCATGTCTATTATCAACAATCACAGATGACGATAAAATCAGACTTGATGTCAATATTTTTTGTATTATTACGTATGAAACAGTTTCGTCAATATTATACGATAAGATAAATTTAAAGACTATGATTCTTTAAAAGACGATGAAATAAGAAAAACAAATTGTCGTGCACCGAAAAACTGTCGCATTCGTACAGAATTTTGTCAATTTTGAAAACGAAATATTTATTTATGAAATAAAAATTTTCATAGTAACTTATTTTCACGCTGCATCCTTTGTTAAATATTGACTCTAAATAAAACTCACCATGAGATTAATAATAAAACTACAGAAAAAAGAAACACCCATTCATAATCCGTCATCCGTTACAATAAAACGATTACTCATCTTAAAAGCTATATTAAATGTGTTATTTAAGTTGTATTTGAAATATACATACAGGTATTGCTGACGCATTACATTTTATTAAAATATAACCGATAATTACAAACTGAATAAACTTGTTTTATTGTCGTTATTAATTTTATCTAAAAAAGAAGTTAAATTTTCGTTTTTACTATTTAAATCAATTAAAACGAAGATATAAGAGACTGATCTTTGTAAATAATTGTCTTTTGACTAAAAATATTTTACAAAGTATTTATATAATGGATGCTCCGTAATATACAGGGCAAAATGTTTTTCTCTTTTTAGGGTGCTTCTTCAACACACGAAAGACTTCATTTTAGGCTTCTTCTACATAAAATTCCTTTTGTCGTCACTAAATTTAAAAAATGAACAACTACACAATCGTTTATGTCTGACGATTAAAAAAAAAATGAATTTTTTTTTTATAAAAGTTTCACTGAAATTTCAAATATGCTACAATAAGTTTTTCACAAAATTCTTTATCTTTTGATATATGTTTTAGAATTTTAGAAGAAATATCTGTGAGAAAAATTTCTCAAGTAAAAAATGTGAAAAAAAAAACGATTTCTAACAGAGTGACATCATTATTTTTTTTTAATTTGACAAAACCTATTGTTTTCAGTCTTTAATTTAATATTTATACCATTTTGTTCAGAATTAAATTCTACAACTGGTGGCATGAAAACAAAAATTGTCATAGACCAGCTCTCGCGTCACAAAACATGGTTTTCCAGAATTCATCTGAAAATACTGGTTACCCTTTTCTTCTGAACAACAGCAGCAGAAACTTCGAAATGGTCGCGCAAGTAGAGAGTACAAAATTCTCTATCCATTCATGCTAAATACTTTACTTTTATCATCGGTCCTGACAGAAATCGATAGATGCTTGCAGAAAATCAGAATTCGCAATTAAATGAGTGAGTAAGAAAACTTTCTATCGAACGAAATCTTTAATGTATTGGAAAAGTGCCCTAAAAAGAGAAAAACATTTTGTAACGTTAATTATGGGCCACCCATCATTCATGATTATAGGTGACAATAAAGAAAATGAATATTAAATACTTTACTTTTTATGAGATTTTTTTTAAAAGACTTTTTGCCTTTAAGTTGATTGATAAAATGATTTGCTGACAAGAAAACTACTCGAACTGACATCCACCGTTTCAACACATATTGCGCCTATAAGAGCATGTTAAGAAGACTAACAAAAGTCTGAAAAGGTTCGTCTCCTATGAAATTTTGAAGCTGAATTAAATTATGGTCATTTTACTCAATTTTTGATCTGAAATTTCGCCCATCGATAAATTTAAAGATTCTAAAAAAATCTTGAAAGTTTCAACCGAAGAGAATGCTCCTTTATCAATATACTATTTTTTGCAAGAAAAACTCGATTTATGTGAAATTTCCGTAGAAAAAATCGCAATAGGCGTTCAAAGAATGAGTGTTAGTTCGAGTACATCTCTCATGAGTATATTTTTACATACACCACATTATAATAGAATTAATAATTGACAGAAATTTGTTAATTGAATAATCTAGAATAAATTTAGAAAACAAAATGCATTGATTAAGAGCTTAAATCTAAAGTTTTAAAATTTTTTCTATTATGTTCTGCTTTCATTATCTATCTGATTATATTGAATTGGAATCTTCTTTTTTTTCTTCTTTTTATGAATATTGAAATTGAAAATTTTCAAATCTATGTTTATCATTCGATGAATTCGAATAAAAGAAAAACAAAACAAAAAAGAGCATAGAATATATATTTATATATATATATATATATCATAGTAAATGTGTACATGTTGACAGATGAGTATAAACTCTTGAGAAGAACCAAAAAAGAAACCAACAAAGCGAAAAAAAAGAAAGAAAGAAAGAAAGAGAGATAGAATTATTGTTTCCAGACAAAAAGAAAAGGCTATGAAGAAATACATTGAGCAAAATAAGAACGAAAACAGTTGCCGATTGAATCGAACCAAAAAAACAAACAAAAAGGAAAGAAAAATATAGACTCTCTTTCTATACATCTATATAGGTGCGAAAAAACGAAAAGAAAAAACTCGATTATAGCAAAATAAGAGTTACGGCTGTTGTTGTTGTAATTTATATTGAAGTTCTAATGATATACGTTTATCAATTAAATCTGTTAGTTGATCTTCCCAATGTTTAAGTTGTGCTTTAAGTACTGAATTTCGAGTTTTTGTTTGATTTAATGCTGTATGAAGATTTTCAATTGTTGTTGTTGATGGTGTCGATATAATTGATGCTAATTCTTGTAAATGATCAGGCTGAAGTAAATCTCGTATTTGTCCAAATAAAACATTTGCATCCGATTGTTGTGGTGTTGATGTTATTGATGGACGTGTACGATTATAAAGATATGGTGTTGTTGTTGTTGATGAATTATTATTATTATTATTTGTTGTTGTTTGTATTATATTACGTTGAGGTGTGTCATTAATATTTGTACGTGGAGGTAATATTGGTTGATGAGGTATATCAACAGATGCTGTACGGCCAGGTGCACGTGGTGGTGGTGGTGGTGGCGGTTTTGTTGTTGGAACAACAATCGGCGGTGGTAATGGTGGTGGTGTTGATGAAAGACGAAGAGGTACTGGTGCTACAATACGATGATCGTCATTTAGTGGTGGTCCATACATAAATTGTTTAGGTGAATTCGTATTATCATCAATATTTGTTGTTGTATGATTTGTTAAATCACTGTTTGTATCTTTAAAATTAGCCCAATTTTCTGTTTGTTCACTTGTATGTGATAATATTGTTGTTGGATCTGATAAATCAATAAGTGGTGTATACGGTTGTAATTGTAATGGAAGTTCATCGGGTAATTCAAAACCATTAACACGTAAAACAACAAGATGCATAGCTGTGCAAAATTCAGCAAGTGATAATGCACCATCATGATTAACATCAGATAAATTCCATATTTGTGATAATTCACTTGTTGGTAAACGTGAACGTTCAAAAAATTCTTTTGCTATATTACCTTAATAAGAAAAACAAAACAAAAAAAAAACGAAAACTTATTTTTTCATTTATTTAATTTTTTTTATTTTTACCACTAATAACTTTTGTTATGTCTGGTTGTATATCTTTAAATTGTTTTGTATAATATTCTCGTTGTACATTATTTATAGTCCATGGATCATCAACAATATCTTGTTCACTTTCATTATCATCATCATCATCACCATTATTCGATACACTTGATGATGATTCATTATTATCACTTTCACTTGCATCACTTGAACTTTGATTATTATTATTTTTATTATTATAACGATGTTTATTATGATTACCATTATTTTGTTTTGTTAAATACATAGCCCAATCTTTTTTAAATGCTGCTGGTTGATGTTGACATGTTGTTGATGTTAATGATGATGATTGAGTTATAGCGTCATGTAAACGTGTTGAATTACTTCCAACTAAACCTTTTCCTTCATCATCAGATTCAATATATGATGATAAATGTTGAACACTATCCGATTGTGAACTAAGAATTGATATTGTATCAATATCTAATCGTGAATGAACATCACCTATTGGTATTGAAGGATGACGAAGTGTGACGCCATCACTGGTCGTCATTGTGTTATATTTATATTATATGTTTCGTCTATTCACCTAAATACAAAATAATAAAAAAACAAAGAAAAAAACCAAATATTAGTTTTATAGGAAGAAAATTTTTATTAGATAGAAATAAGAACACTAAAACAAAAACATACACAGCATGATATAGACGAACTAATAAAAATAAAGAATATTCATTTAACAGTCAATGAACATGCTGTTCTATCGAGGACAAAAGAAAAAAAAAAAAGATTTTGTCTTTTTCCGAGAATTAACTGCTATTCACAGTTGGTACGCTGTTTTTTTTCTTGTATTGACTCAAGGTTTTATTATAAGACTGAAATAAAAGCTGTTTTGTAGTTAGCAAAAAAGAAAAAAGAAAGAAGCAAAATGCTGATTTAATTTTTTTCCTTTTTCTTTGTACGACCTAATGGACAGGAAAATAGAACGACCAATCTATCTTATTGGAATTAGGACTACAACGAATAACATATATGATTCATATTTATCTTAGTCTTTCGGTCAAGTGGTTAAGCAATGAACGAAACATAACACAGCACAGCATACGTCGCTACGTTAATTGTATAGCCATATATTCAAATAAATAATTTATTCGATTAGATGTCACTAGTTATCGAGTATTAAAAAGTCAATGATTTCCTTAAGTCGTTTCTATTGCGAGTATTGAATTACATTTATTTTCGTTAATAATTTATATAAGAACATGTACGATTTAAAATACAGCAGAAACGATTCTGCAGTTAAGAGTATATGTTTATGCATGATTGAACTATCTTGAGATATAAAAAAACAAGAAATTTGCATATTCGGTCTTCAAATGATCGTTTTCAACTTAAAACGAAAAAGAATATTTGATAATTAAAATAAACAATAATTTAATAATAATACATATTGTGTAGATGTTGAATAAAATTTAGAAGTATTTATGAAACATGTAACATAGAGTGAAACATAATCATGCAATAATAAGTTCTATTAAAATAAAAATGATGCCATTTATAGTACATATGTTCTTGTTACACTGATAGGCCAAAGTATTTTTCCTGACCCTCTCCTCTCATACTTTTCGTATCGAACTCCTTTCGTCTCAAGTGAGTGTTGGCTATATGAATAGCTTAAGTACTGCATTTTAATGTAGAACGTCATTGATTACAACCTACTTCAAAGAAGATTGTACGTCATTCTATACAATATTAGTCAACACTACAAATGAGTAGACTGATAGAATACTTTCATGGCTGAATTATCTCTTTGATTTTTGATATTTTCTGAATATTTTATTAATTTTATTTTATTTGTATTTTGTACAATTGCCTATACCACATTCTTGAAAAGTTTCGATTCGCCGACAAAGAGTCTCTAAGAATCCAAATCAATAAAGACAGTTAGCAAATGCAAAAAAAACAAAACGAGATAATCGAGTCATGAAACATTCTGTCAACCAAGTCATTTGTAGCGTAGCTTAACTATATTGAAAGACATGTATTCTTCATTGAAGCAAATTGTCATCAATCATACGCTACATTAAAAAAAAAAAGCACTTAAGCCATTCTTGTAACTAAAACTCACTTGAGATCAAAGGGATTGTATATGAAAAGAAAGAGAGGAAGTCTTTTACTCAAGGGTATATTTTAAAAGTTTGATTATTTCTCAGAATATATTTTTCTTATTGATAGAAAATTGAAATTTATAAGATATAGAACATTGTTATTTAAAAAAATATTAACATCTTGTTTCTGACCATGTTGGATTTAATATAGTTCCTTTAATTGTATAACAAGAATTAACTACTATTGAAGAAAATTCTTGTGTAAAAATTGTACTATAAATAGCAATAAATGTAAGAGCTTTACATTCAAGATAAGTCCAAACAGCATCGAAAGGTATATCTAATCTTGAACATTGAAATATTGGAAATAATCCTGTATCATATTTATGAATTTGAATTCCATATGTAAATGATTGTGATTCAAGATAGCATTTAGCTAAATAAACACCTTGATTACATATACGAACATAAGCACCAAATGAAAAATTAATATCTAAATAATAATAATGAAATTATTAAAATATAGAAAATAAACTTTAACTAAATTACTAGTAATAAACAGTAGACCAATAATGAAATATTTCAACATATTTGTATAAGAAACTTAATAGAATATGCAAACAAAAAAAAGAGAAAAGACCTTGTTCTTTCAATTATTTTTATGATTTCAAGATGAAAGTCAAGTAACAAATGGCGATTGATATGAAAACAAATGTCATGTCAGTCATGTTACGTCATGTAAGAGAATTAGAGAAGATACTTGTATCATTTCATTTACAACTAAATCTCGTTGAAATACATTAAAAAAAAAAAAAAACTTTAGAATATCCAAAATGAATTCTCGGCTTCTATATTTTTAGTTTTAATTGGTTTATTTTAGCATCTAGAAATAAATTTAATATATATTATATTTATTCATCTTTTTGATAGAAGTTTGATTATAATAGATTCTACATCAATATAAAAACTCCATTATGACACAGTTTTTTTTTTTTTCTTTCCAGGATATATGTTTTGTATAATCTTCTTTCTCACATCTATCAGTTATCTATAAAAATTTTCGTATGTAAGCTATTGTTAAAAGTCATTAATCAATAATTATTCGAAATGGCATTGATTAAATATATTTCCTTCATCAAATATGATATTTTTTAAGGAAAAAAAAATCATAATAATAGAAATTAACTAAAATATAATGATTCTATATAAAATATCATTTATTACGATAAATTCTATATTGAAAAAATTGTCTCATAAATAAAGGATTAGATTTAAATTTCTTTTTAAGCCTCTCTACACTATCACAAGTCGACCTTGAGCGAAGTATATTCAAGTCATATTAAGTTTTCAGCTCTATATCATGATGTTTTGGTGAGATATTTGACAAACAAGTCTCAAATGTATTTCATTTGGTAACTCAAAATTCTTTGTCAGCCATCATTCTATATATTTAATTGTTTTTGTTTTATTTGAAAGAGGACATGTCAGAATGTAGTACTTGACAAAGTTCTTTTTATTTTTAAATACTTATTTTTTATGTGAAGGAAAAAGTTGACAAGTTCAATACCTCGAAAAATGATCATCTATTGAAGGAAGTGCTGCTTTAAATAAGCATTAAAAAGCTTAATTTAAAAAAATGAGTTTTGCCAGGCATTGCAACTTGATATGCTTTTTTCAAACTTAAAAAAACAGACAATTGATTACAATAAATCTCCTTCGAAAATTTTGAAATATGCGAACAGAAAAAAAAAATTCGATTTTTCTGCAAAAGTATATGAATGAAAGATTCGACTTCAAGCAACCCGTCTATGTATTTATTTTTTGATGAAATTGAACTCTTGTTTGATGCAACGAGAGAGAAGGGGTTGAAACTATTGATTATTACAATGAGTCATTTATGAAGTACATCATATTTTCTGTTCTTACCAATGCAGTATGCGTAACCATGTTGGGCAATTACTGACACCAATTTATGGCAAATTAATATTTCATATTTCTTTGCTTTTTGCATCAACCAATTTCATCATCAAATGTTTGTAAAGCGATAAAAAGCAAGAGTTTAATGTATTTTATTTCATATTCAACAAAAATCTCATTATGTCCAAAGACAAATCATCATCACTTTCAATTTCATCTACTGATTTAACAACTTGTATCAAAGTTCTTTCAACGTTTACTAATAATGGTGAATATTCATCAATTGAATCAGATGAATTTGACAGTATCCGAACAATACTATGTAGTTTATATCACATTGAAAAACATCTTAATAAAAAGACAAAAAAACCTTATGAACGCCCAATAAAATTAATTGATCAAAAAGCAATTCGTTTACGTCGAGCTAAAAAATTTCAACCACAACATAGTATTATACCTGATAGTATTGTACAAATTGAAACAATAAATGACGATAATAAAAATCATACAACACAACAATTAAATGACTCAACATTTTGTTATATATGTAAATTGAAATATGATAGATTACATTTTTTTTATAATCAACTTTGTCCATCATGTGCAAAATTTAATTATGAAAAACGTATACAAACAACGAATCTTACTAATTGTATAGCTTTAGTTACTGGTGGTCGAATTAAAATTGGTTATCGAATTGTTTTAAAATTATTACGTGCTAATTGTTTTGTTATAACAACAAGTCGTTTTCCAATGGATTTTTTAAATCGTTTAAATAAAGAACAAGATTTTGAACAATGGAAAGATCGTATAAATATTTATGGAATTGATTTTCGATATTCTCAACTTGTAGAATTATTCACAGAAATGTTAATTGAAAAATATGATCGATTAGATTTTTTAATTAATAATGCAAGTCAAACAATTCGACAATCAAAAGAATCTTATCAACATTTATTCCATCATGAAAGATTAATTAATTATTCTCTTTTACCTAATGATCAACAAAAGATTTTAAATGGAAATCTACAATTCTATGAACGATTAGTACCATTTTCTAATCCAGTTCAACAAACATCATCATCATCATATCCATTATGTTTACCTTATACAAATGATTCAAACAATAGTCCTATACAAACATCTATAATAGTCAACCATACTTCATTTGATGTAAACCAACAAATCATTGATTTTCATTCAACAAATTCTTCGTTATCACGTCTTGGTGATTTATCAACAATAGAAATGAATGAAGCTCTTACTATAAATACTTTAGCACCATTTATTCTCAATAGTAAACTTAAAGTACTTATGGCTGATAAACATCCAAATCCAGATAGTACTAAATTTATTATTAATGTATCATCTACGGAAAGTTTATTTTCTCAATCGAATAAAACTGATCAACATTCACATATAAATGCCACAAAAGCTGCATTAAATATGATGACACGTACATCAGCTATAGATTATCAAAAATCAAATATCTTTATGGTTTCTGTTGATACAGGTTCATTGATTGATATAGAATTATTTTATTTTGAAAGTCTAATTTTTATTTTCTAGATTTGATTAATGATAATAATTCATTAGAAAAAACAATGATTGATCAAGATTATCAGATACCACTCGATGAAGAAGATGCTGCAGCACGTGTTCTTGATCCCATTATTGACACTTATAAACAAATATCTGAGGAAAAAATTGATGTTAACATTCCTTATGGATGTTTTCTAAAAAATTATCATATATGTAATTGGTAATATAATAAATTAATTTCAATAGATTCTTCTTTAAACAAATATAGATTGTCACTGTATATTTTGAGCAATCCATTCTACGTAAAATATGATTCAAAAGAAAAGAAAACACGGAGATTATAATAAGGAGATAGAACACGAGATAATTCACATCAGTTTTGTCTACTTTGACAATAAAATGTATATAAAAAAAAAAAAAAAAAAAAAAGGCAAAAGAAAACATATTTGTATTCAGAATACTTCTATCAATTCTCATGTATAAGGAATATTTTTTTCATTTAAATGATTGTTCATTGAGTATAGAAGATTATTTGAGGTATTCATATCCAAAAAGAAAATGCTGATGAAAGGAAGAGATCGATTGTTTAACTATATGTACATATAAAAAAGGCAACTATATAGTGACGTTATCATGTTTATAATAAATTTATTTTCCACTCCATGCCATAATCACTTTGCTAAAACCAACAAATACTCCTTTATTCGGTTTACTAAATAAATGAAAAAGATAACAAAAGTTAATTAAAAAAAAAAAATTTCATCTTCTTACCATTGAAATAAACGTTGACCTTGATAAACACCATCATGTTTACTTTCTGTGAAAGAAAAATATTATTGCGTAGAAAATTTAAAAAAAAAAGCACATTCATGTTTATTTTTTACCTTCATCTTCTAATTCTAAGCCAAGATATTGATCATTTTTGCCTGGTAATGGACCAATATATTTAACAATACCTTTACTAATTTTACCACCCGGCCGAGAAAATTTAATTATATCATTTAAACGAATATCAGTAATAGATGTTGGAGCATAAGGACGTCGTGGGCTGTATGAACAAGAAAAAAAAAATCATTAATCGTACTATTTAACTATCTTACCTAGTTGTTTCAACACTTGGTCGACGGTGACGACCATGATGACGATCTGTATATTAATACAATAAATCACTAAATAAAAACAAACTATTTCTTTTTTTTTTTTGTTATACCTTCATGTATATCAGCCTCGTTATCATTCATTTGTCTATTTGACATCGTATAACTATTAGAACGACGTGACTGATGTTGAGATTCAGGTACTGTAACACTTCGACTAAGACCATAGTTTTGTTGATATAAATGAGATGACGATGATGATTGTGATGGTAGTGATGGAGTCATATAATCATTTGTTCCATCCGCTGGATGTTGTCGTTGTGAACGATATTGATTGTCATAATTTCCCATATCTAATATAAAAAGAAAATGTATACAAAAATTAAGAAAAATAATTTACTTCGATGTTGTAGTCCTAAATAGACAAAAAAAAAAAGGTATCATTAAATATAAAAAGTAAAAAAACAATAAATATAAAATGTGAATAGTGAAAATCATTTTGACTAAATATGTGTAACTACAGATATAGGAAGAACGAATATAATAAAAAAAACGATAAGAAATAACTACCATATACTATGTGTATGTGACTGAGTGTTCAGAAAAAAAAAAAACTTGAGGATTTTTCTTTACCGCTGTATGGTACTAATGCATATTTAAAGGGGTCTATGGGCAAAAAAAAAGAAGTTTTATTTATTCTTTTATTTGCCATTATTACATAGAATAATATCTATCTTGTATAAAGAATTAGTTTTTTTTTGACTTAATAAAATTTACCTTCATTCTGTTGAATATTTTCTTCATCCCATTCAACAGAACGTTTTGGTTTTGATGAACGATAATTTAATTGTGGATCAATTGGTTTTGTTACTGAATTTGTATAATTATTTCGATGATATTCTTCTTGTCCTATTGTTGATGGATATCTTGATGTTTGATGATGATTATTACCATCGATTGCTGTTGATCGATGCATTGATGTTACTGGTCGATTATTATAACGTTCAACACTAACAGTTGTTAAATAATTTGTTGAATCACTTCCTTCCGATAAATTTGGACTTTCACTTCGAATAACTAATAATAACATAAAGTTAGAGAATGATTTTTTTTTTTTTTTTTTTTAAGACTACAAAAATTAAAAAGATTAGTTTATTATATAAATATTCCTTTCTTGATTTATATTTGTCTGTTATAGTTTAGTGATCATCTTAGTTTAAGTTAGATTATGAAACTGTTGTTCTTTCGTTATTTGATTTAATCAAATTACCCGAAGATTTTGTTTAGGAAGAATTGACTTTCATGTTTATTTCAATTTAATGACGAATAATATCCAGTGATTCTTTTCTTCGATATAAGATGTAGATTTTTGAAGTGTGACTGCACTATTGCTTGATCAAATCCTACAACACTATCTTGTCTTAATCATGATTTCGATCTTATTCTGTTTAAAGAATTCACACAAAGTTTTCTAGATTCTTTACAGTTGTTTAAACGCATGCAAAATCTGCATGAATGACTTCGATAAGATGATATAGTCAATCTTGTAAGAATCAGGCCTCGAAATCAGGTCACTTTTGAATGAGTCGTATCAAACCTAGAGCTGCTTATGTTGTTTGTTTGGCCCAACTTATAAGAGAACGTTTTCAACTGATCAACTACTTTTGGATTCGAACTTGATGCATAGAGTAGATACCATTGAGATATGAAAAATACTCAAAAGAATAGGTTTCCTTAAGTTTTATGTCCAGAGTTTTAGGCATTTTATGAGAATTTTTGCCTGTGGCATGATATATATCAATAAAATCTCAGGTCGAAATACCATCATTCGATTTGTTGGTATATACTATGTCAGAGGCTACAATTCTAGTAAAATGCCTATAATTCTGGACAAGATATAACGAGACTTATCCTTTTGAACATTTTTCATATCTCACTGGAGTCTATAATATGCATAGAGTCCGAATTCAAAAGCGATTGATCAATTGAACACATTCGATGGTTAGAACTTCACAATCATTGTGTATTCATTTAATAAATCATTGTAAAAAGTTTATTATCATAATAATTACGAGTTAAATAGTATTGGATGATTTTAATGTTAAAAAAAACAGCATATTCGAAAAATCAAATCACTTATTGAACCGAAAGAACAAAATAGGTACTCCAACTTCTTGGACACCATCAATTATTAATATAAGTTTTCAAAAGTAAAATGTTTGCTGATCAATGTCAAAGAGTCTGATCGATTACTAGTTTTAACGACACAGCTAACATTGTTTCACTTCAGTTACACTCATACCACTTAATGCAGTTAATAGCGCACTCGGTCTTATGTGTAGATGAAGAATGTCATTGAACTGAATAAATGCTCCATTTTTATTTATTAGCTAAATGAAACTTCCGAAATGCTCGCATAGTAAAGATTCTTGATTGTTAGCAATTGTGAGATGCAAAAACCCAATGTTCGAATCGGACGGCTTCGAAGAAATTTCTTCTAGATCGGATAGTACATTTCGAATGCTGGCAAAAATGATTACTACTTTGTTTCTGATAAGATCATTATTCATATTTACCTTTCGAACGTTCACGTCTTGAATCTGTATTGGATAATTTTAATGGTGATGAAGGTACTGTATTATCAATAGGTGATATTTGTTGTTGTGGTTCATTCGCATATGCTTGTTGAAGAGTTGAACGCCAAGCAAGATTATGTTGTTGTCGTTGATGATCTTGTTGTAAACGATGATTCTCTTCAAATAATTCATCATTTCGTTGTTTAAGCATTCTAGAAATTAACAGTAAATCAAGACAATAAGAAAAGCATTTTCTTTATAAAAGAATTCTAAATATACTTTAAATCATTTCGAAGTGAATTAAACTCTTGATAAAGTAATTCATCATTACGTTTTTTAGCATCAGTAAGCTAGAAAATAAGAAAATCAATCATTAATCATTTTCTTTAATAAATAAATTAATTCTAATCATGCACTAATTCATGCAACTCAACCTGAGAAATTTTTTTTTCTCGAGAAAAAAATGTATCCGATGCAAACGTGGGATCAATAAGAGAAAGAAGCATTGAAAGTTTCTTATTAATTTTCTATAGATAATTTAAAAAGAAGAAAAATTTTGTTTATTATTAATTTTTTGTTTTTTTTTCTATTATATGAATTATTTACTTTTTGTTGTAATTCTTCATTTTCTCGTTTTAATTGAGTCATTGTACGATCGGTTTGTTGTATATGTTGTTTTAATAGATCATTATCATTTGTTAATGCACGCATTTGTTTTTCATAAGCTTCTGAATTAAAACAAAAAAAAAAGAAAAAACAACGGAATTGTATTGGTTTTTGTTCCTTTAGCAAGAAAATTATTACGAACTTAATTTTTTTTCTAATGCTTCTTTTTGATATAAAGTAGCATCGTCTAATTTATTTGCACGATTAATAACACCATTTTGTTGTTGTTGATGTTGAAGTTTTGCAATTAATTCTTGATGAGAACGTAATTCATTTTGTAAAACATCTTTTTCACGACGAAGTACTTCAGTTTCAGTATTATTCTATATTAATTAAATCAGAAAAAAAATAATAGTTAATTCTTTCATTTTTTTTTTTTGTATAATATTAATTTAAATTTGAAATCTTACAATTGTATGACCATTTTGATACATAACTGGTACTTTAGCTTTAAGTAATTTATTTTCTAATTGTAATTCTTGAATTTCTTTATTTAAATGTATTATATCAAGTTCTTTTTCTTGTAATTCACGTTGAAGTGAAGTACAATCATCATCAAGTGAAAGTATCTAAAGAAGAGAAAAAAAAATTTATATTGTCTTTTTTGTCGAATATTTTCGGGGTATTGAATTTCAAGAAAATTTTTTTTTTGTTTGATATTGCTAAAGCAAAATATTTATCGAAGATTCTGTTGATCAGAGAAGAAAATTTTGAATATTAAGTTATAGATTCAAACAATGATGAAAGTTTTATTTATAATCATTGATATTGTGTATGAAGAACAAAAGTTTCATTCAAGACGAAAATATTTATCTTTCCGCATGAAAGTTATCGTACAATTCTATGTGATATGTTTATGTGTAATACAGCAAATAAATGTTCAAGCCTTTGGCAGCAGACTTATTTTTAGAATAAATAAAGTAAAAAGCTATTATTTACATGAGATACTTTGAAAATTATTGACAAGTATAATTCTTACAGTTAGATTTATTTTAAAGATGCATTTCTGTTACCATTGGCATCTATGTCAAAGCATTACAAAAATTGAAAAGGTCTGTTTTACTATATTCTGGCTTCATTCTCTCTATTCAAATTTTGAAAACGAAAGTTGATGGGCTTCGCCGTCAAAGAGTTAATTAGTTTGTAAATAGTTGTATACGATCGTGTTTGTTTGTTCTAGATCGAGTTTAACATCATCAAATACGTCTATAATACCTATAGTTTATCTAACATATTAGTCTCAGCATAGTGCTTGACATTTTGAAATAATAAAGTCAAACTTATGTATAGATGCATCAATTCCAATTTCGATGTTTTTTTTTCACTTGGAGTTAATCGTGAAAAAATTGAAATCAAATTATTAATTTCTGTAAATATAGGCGAAATTAGTAATTTGACAACAGCCAATATTAACCAAGCTCGAAAATTGGAATTGGTGTATCTGTAACTTTATAATCAATTGATATTTTTAATCCTAAACTACTGATTTTGATATTCCAATATAGTAATATATTGAAGTTTGAATACATTAACATGATAAACTTCGAAAAGACTCTTGTCTTACTAAACATGTATAAAAATAACTCTGTACTTTCTATTTGATACCAATTTAGTATAGATATTTTATGAAATGTATGAAATAATAAACTTACTTCCATATTTCCAACATTAATTTTACTATCATCATCATTTTTAATTGTTGTTGTCGTTTTTGTTATTGGTCCTTTACTTAAAATAGGAATTGATGATTCCGAAACATCCGATGATGGTCGATCATCATTGATTGATGTTAATAATTTTCCATCATATAAATGTTTTAAAACAAGATCAAGTTCTCGTCGTCGTTCATCATTACTTATCATTGTTGATGATGAACTTGAACGTGGTAATGTTAAATGAAGACGATCACGTAGTTCATTAGTTAATGTCGTTGTTTGATCAATTTGTTCATGTTTTGTTTTATTATTAAATAAACTTGGAATATTTGAATAACTCGAATAACTTCTACTTGGTAATGTTTTTGAACCATCTATCATTATGGATGAAGCTGATGTCGACATAAATGATGATGATGATGGTGCTTCGACTATATCATCAATTAAATCTTGATGTGATGATCGACCTTCAATTTTAGTCGGCATTCAGAATTATCTTAAAGAAAAATACTAGAAAGACAGGGAGAGGAAAAAAATATCTATATATAGAACAAATAAATAACAATACAAATTCTCCTAAATATACTCCCAGAAACCGTTCATTGTTGCTAGTACATTCAGGTTCAATACATATAGTTTCTTCTTGTTCTCTTCTTCTTCTTCTTCTTCTATTCATTAAATAAAGAAGTAACAGAAGAGCAAAGCAATTTCGGGGCAAATGTTATTCAAATATTTTTTTCGTTGTAAGATCGAAAAGAAGACAGAAGAGAATAGAAGAACGAGCATCGAAGAAGCTCTATAACAATGAAGAACAAAAACACTTTTATCCAATCTACCATCGCCAAACATTTGCGTCTCTAGAATTTCAACTCGAACAAATTTCACGTACAAAATCTTGTTTAGAATTTTTTTTTTTGTCGTGTTCTTCTGTGTTCGTCATTTGCAACTAGATGATTTATATGACTCGTCTCAATTCTTTACAGCAAGATGAATGACAAAACTTTACTCACTTGAACAAAGCGGTTAGCAGCAGTTTTTTTTTCCTTTCTCTTATTACGTACATTCATCTTTATTGAAACGTCTGCCACGCAACCAATATTCGCCATTCTTCATATATTCTCCTCGGTTATTTTACTCATTAGCAACGCAATGACACACATGAATAGATGACGTTAGCTATCGATGATTATATTAAAGTAATTATATATATGCGCAATGGATCAATCTGTATAAGTAATATACGTAAGGAACATTTTCTTTTGTCATCGTAAAAACCAATAAATATTTTAGTAGGATTAATTTTTCTCATTAAATATCATGAATATGTTCTTTTCTTTCTTCGATTAATACAAAAGAAAAAGAAACTTTTTGATTAAATTGAAGGCTTTTGCTGTCGTATTCTAGTTGGTTACACATTGACAAATATAGTAAAAGAAAACGAAGCTTATTATAAGAAAGATAAGAACAACAAACATAAATACATTTGATAATAACTAAAGGAGTGCACACAGTAAAACCAACATAATAAAGTAAAAAAATAAGTGTCTGCTAAAAACATCAAAATGTGATGATCAATGTTGACTATTGAAGATGAAACAAATCTTTTCAAAGATCAAAATCTACTGAATGACCGAAAAATCAAGAAGAATTTTAATTTTTTCATTGTACTTTAATCAAATCAACTATTTCTTTTTTTCTTGTCTGATAACAGAGAAAAAATTGAGGTTTTTCTTCATACAAAAAAAATTAACAAGTAAAGGTCAAAGCTCTCTATTTTGACTGCAATTGTGAATATTTCATATCTACAAGAGACTACATTCAAGGACTTCGAAATTTTTCACATAGATTAGTCTAAACAGCAGCTCTGTAAAAGTTTCGTTTTTAGTCAAAATTCGATGATAAAATATAATATTTGTTGGAGTTTTGGAATTTTTCTGAACCTCGTTTTTGCTCATTAAGACTTTATATTTGTTTCCGATTGAAATCTACAAAAATCCGCTTTTTTTTTGGTCCTTGAATCCTATAAAAGTAAATTTAGTAGCTTGTTTAATACACGACAAGAACACGAACCGTTTGGAATCCCTTCTAAGTAGTCTAATGCAAGAGACAAACAGCCGACGTTAAGTACAGAGATTCAAAATTTTCAAGGAATTTAAAAAACATGAACTCAAAAATCTGTAATCATTTATGACCCTTCTTCATAAATATTTCTGTGGATCACATCAAAAAGCTAATTTTATATCACAGTCAAGAGTGACTTTCTGCTATCATCAAGAAAAAAACGAACTAGCTGTTTTGATTAACGTACGATAAAGAAATTCAAATCTTTTTGGACATCCAGTATTTAATAAATGCATGAAATTTAATTAGTCCAATAATAGATTGTGCGCCAAGAAAAAAACACATTTCTAGAGAGCAATTATTTTTAACTCAATTTTTATGCTTGAAGAATATCAATATTTTATAGTATACGTGATAAATTTTTTTTTTTTGTTTTTTAAATATATTTTGTTTGTCAAACATCATCAATTCAACTTTAAGTCAAATATAATAAACATTCTTTTTTTTTCTGGGTTTGTTTTAAAATTGAAAAAGGAAAGAATCACGATTACGAAAGTCAATAAAGAAAGAATGAACAATATAACAATCAAATATAGAAGAAATTGATTTTGTTTTAGGAAGACAATCAGTCAGAGAATATATATATTGCAGAAATTAATAAATGGAATTTCATTTGTTTAATTTCTTGTATTTAACAATCAATGCACGAACTTCTTCATTTGTACAACATTGATCATATGAAACACCATCTGGATTTGTACCGTTAACATCAGCACGCTAAAAATAAAAAGAATAAACAAATATATACAATCTTATCATAAATATTTCGTAAATTTTTTGTTTTTTGTTTTATACATTCTAGAATATTCTAAAGATTGATATGCATGCGTAGTCTCTATTGTGGGATAAAGCAGAAATAATAATGAAAGTAATGATATAATTTATATCGTTTTTCTTTCGTATAATGCAGAAAAAGCAAAAAAATACAGTACATATGCTTAACGATATAAACAAGAAAAAAAAAACAACAGACAATTGAAACAAAGAAAAATCGGCAGTCTAGAGAACGTACTGAAATGATCGTGAAGTTTTTCTTTTTTTGTTTAGTTACACGATCAAACTAATCCAAACAACACTCACACATAACGTGCTTTTATATATGTACATATGTAGAATAATAATAATAATAGTAATAATAATAATAATAATACCGAAATGGGAAAAAAAAAGTAATAAGATGACTAGATACACCGAGATAGTCCCAACGAAATAACAGCTATTCTGTATACTAGTATAAAAATGAAATGAAAAGTTTATTTAACAAGTTTATATCCAAGCTGTTGTGCAGCTACGGAAACACAAACACCATCTCGACATGATTCACATCCATGATGTTGTCCTTTTGGATTTCCAAAACGACGATGATGATTTGATTGAATTGGTGCTTTCAGATTTGAATACATAAGTTGATTAACAATAACAAAAACATTTCGCATAACACGACATACTTCTTCAGGATACCATAATGGTGCACATACGTCACCACAACGGTCACATACTTGTGTAAATAATTTAAAATAAAGTATATATGATTTACAATCATAAAAAAATGATATTTGTCCACGCATTGATGTCCAGCAATGTGAACATGAATTACATTCAAAACGTACTTTAGCTATTTCAACATCACATGATGCATCCGATGGTAATCGGCAAGTACCATTGCTGCCTAATGGCATTAATACCCAATGATCAGCCGTAAAATAACGTCCAAATGTTAATTGAAATTCAGCATGAAATATAAGACTCATATCCGAGCAAAATTCTTTTTTACTTTCATCTGATAATACTGATGCTAATTCGTAATCATCTTCATGTAATGATGGAACAGGTGATGATCGTGTTGATGCTGTTTCAGCTTCAGAAAAACCAGATTCATCATCTGTTATACTTGAACGATGTTTAAATGTAAAATCATCCTTCATTGGTAATTCTTCAACTTGTATTCCATCGCTAGCAGCATGTTTTGTTGCTATATGATCAATGGAACAAGTTTGATTTGATAATAAACTAACTTCACGAACCATTGTTTAGGTTAAATTGTGAATAAATCGTATTGTACTCGTTGTCTTCTATATGCAATGCAAAGCGTTTGTGTAAGCGAATGCTTGTTTGCCCCTTTTTATATATAGACGCAAATGGTAAAACGTTGGTAGCGCTTTACATCTATTTTTTTCTCTCGTTCTTTCGCTATGATCTATATTATGAGTCACGCGTATCGAGCGCCAGTGCACGTGTACAATTAAACGTGATCGTTACTTTTTTTAGGCTAACAGGGGGCGAGGTCTTTCCCCCCTTTTTCTTCGTTTTCTTGCAATGGAAGAGAAGGACGAATAATAGAAAGGAAAAAATAGTTGCCTTTTTTGTCCGATCAGAACATATCAACAGTAAGCAGTTGACGAGCCAATGTTTCACATTCTACTGAATGACCTTGAGATTGTTTATTACAGAAAGCAACAATAAAATGAGTAGTGAATGAAGTAATAGATGAAATTACGCATGAATATTTTTGTTTTCTTTATTATTTGTTCATTGTATATTACGAGTTATTCGTAGATTACACCAAGGATAGATGTTTTTTTTTAGTTAAGTCATATAAATAACTCATACAATGATATAATATTGTTGTTTTGTAAATACGATAATCATCACATCAGAGAAAGGAATATATAAAAAAAAAGAAACTCAAAAATATACCGTTTGAACCAAAAACTGACAGCAATATTGAAAATATCGTATGCGATTTTTTTGATCATCAACAATTTCTAGAGAACAATGTTCTTTTCCATTATCCTATAAATCGATGTAGGAAAGAAATGAATAGCCGTTTGCTAGCACAAAAAAAAAATGCTGCGCAAAACTGAATGACGGATTATAATGAAACCGAATATAATGATACACTATTTCCGGCAGTTATAAGTAGCATTTTGGAGATTATTTAAAATTCTTGTTGTTACAAGTTCTAATATAGTTTATTTATAATAAAACAAGACTGTGATGAAAGAATAACATTCAAAAACAAAAACTATTATATATAAGAAAATGAATATAACTTGTTTTCAATGAAGATTCATCGAAAATTAAATAATTTAGTCCTTTTTTTTTATATAGAAAATGATGATATATATAACTCAAATTAATAAACTGATTGACATTATTAATCCTGAAAGTGCAAATAAAAGCATATTTTGCATGCCAATTATATCATACTTAAACAATTTATTACGAAACCAAAAAGAGAGAAAGAGAGAGAGAACTACTAAGCAAAAGAAAAATAAACTGGAAAGTGCATTCTATTAATAGACAATATACTTTTCGTATTCTTTTATTCTCTTGAATACTGATAGAATTTGTTGTTTGAAGAGCTACGACATTCTTATATTTGCCTATCAAATGCATCTACTATAAACACACCATATACTAATCATCTGATATAAAACATGACAGAAAAGAGGTGTGATAAAATGTATTTAGACGAATAGCTTTAAAAAAGGTATGTACAAAAATAAGCGCTTATAATAGTGAATAATTATCATTCAACTAGAACGAACGATTTCATCATAGATCACAGTCATGTCAATGAGAAATCAAAATATTTTTGTTTGTGTCAATGAAAGAGAGGAGGACGATTCAAGGACAAATAAACAAATAATTCAAACCTGTTCAAGAAGATATTTAACACAATCAGTATGATCTTCATATATAGCAGCAAGAAGTGGTGTTAAACCAAATTTATCTTTACTCTGAAAATATAAAAATGATGTGTGAAAGAAAATTTTATATTAATTTATTTATTTACGTTAACGTTAGCACCATTATCAACAAGTTCTTTTAATACATCGAAGTTTCCTGCGTCAGCTGCATAGTGTAATAATGATCGACCATTCATTTGTTCATTCACTTTTTCCGGATGCTGAAAAGAAAAATCAAAAAAAAAAAATTTAATGTAGTAAATCATTTTTTTTTTATTTCATTTTTAATTATTACTTCTTTAAGAAGTGTTTTTAATGATTGAAGTTCACCTGTTTTAGCACACCAAATCATGCTTTCATTTGTACTAGCCATGGAATCAGTCATTGGAAATGAATTATGAATAGAATGATAAAAAGATATCTGAAAAATAAATCTATCTGATATTAAAAGAAAATTCTTTTTTTTTTATTAAACATCTAAATTTTTTTTTATCATATAATTTTTATAAAATATTTATAATCATAAATCTATTTTTCTCGATAAGATAGATTATTATTTTTCGGTCAATATCAAATTTTTTCTATAAAATCTAGTGATACAAATATGTCCGGAAATAATTATTACCCATCTGTTGGGCAAAAGATCAAACTAATCAATCTTATAAGATAATAGAAAGATCGTATTGATTGATTCTCATATCAAGAAATATCACTGAACTTCTCGATTTGGTGTTTTTCTTTTATAAATTTATTTGAAGATTATTCTTAATTTTATCAAAAGAAGAAAAAAAGCAGTATCGTAAAAATCAATAGTAGATTAAAAAAATCAAATACTTTTATGACTTGTTGCAATGATTATTTTGTTCTTAAAAACTGACTTCAATATAGAAAAAAAAAACAACACAATTACCTATAGAACGTGAAAGAGTAAAATCTGGACGAACATTTGTTTCATTTCTACTGATAATACTCAACAAGAAATGTATAGTCAGTCCAAGCTGATGCTTTTAAACATACAGCACTTAACATTTTCTCTTTGTATGAGTGCCGAATAGACATGTCAAGACATAGACGCATTAGTACTAATTAAGAATTCAATTATATGTAGATGTCCAAAGCAGACTTTGGAAATACATGATCTTTTTTTTTTTGATATAGTATAATTGCATTTTAGTGTAATCTATTGATTAAATCATGTGTACTTTAAAAAAATATTGTATAAAATGTTTTTCATAACTAAACTTGATCATGAATAGAAACGAATGTTAATATCTGAGAAAAGAAGATCTTATTGAAGATAATACTTGTTCTTAAAAGATTTGAAATATGCTAATTAATTGATGATATATCTACTTTTGAAAATGATTTGCAATGTAGATGAGTGAATTCTTTTCAAAATTTTATATAAACATGATTTATAAAACGCGAACAAGAGAATATTATTACATGCTGTAGCCGGTTTTTTGCTCTATCTTTTGACGTTAATTGAACTTTGATAAATTTTGAAAAATGTTAAAAAGGATCTATCGCCTGAAGGTTTTCTTCCGAGTTACGGTTGTTTTACTATGTTTTCGAGCTACTACCAGATATTTTTAACTTAATGTTTCGCCCATAGATAGACATTAAATTTTCAAGGATATTCTAAAAATGTCAAGCCAAATTAATGCGTCTTTTTAAAGTTTGGTTCGTTCAATAAAGAATCACTAATTTATTTTGAAACCTTCAGAATATCCTAGTGAGTCTGACATCTATCTATGGACAAAATAGTCAATCAAAAATACTTTGTAGCAGATCAAAAATATAATAAAACAATTGTAACTGGAGAAGAAAGATTTAAGAGAATAAATCTTTTCCAAGTTTTTGACATTTCATTGAGATTTATTTATGATCAATAAATTAGTTAATATATAACTTGAATATCTATACTCTTGCACAAGTTTTTATCTGAAAAATTCTTTTTCTGAACCTTAACAATATTCTCTGCAAGCGAACGAAAGAAGCTCAGTGTGATTTTTGTCACTTACTCGGTTTCAATAATTTGAATTGTGTTTCGTCAGAAAAATATTCTGTCAATCTTACATTGTCACAATCGAAATAAATCAATAGTCATTAAATAATGACTTGAATATGCTTTTTTATACAAAGAAAAAAAACACTGTATCAGTATTGATGATAAAAATCTTGCCGAAAATTTTCGAATTGAAAGCTGTTGATAAAAAAAGAATGAATTTTGATTCTTTTTTTATAACATTAAGTCAGGCATAAAACTTTAATGTTTCAGTCATACCTGGAATAATCAGCTAAGTAGTTTAATATAACCAAAAGCGTTTCTTTCAACGATGTTTCTGATTATTTAATATTCAAAGGTAAACAGTGCATTGCACTACCAACAGTAGAACTGTCATCAATCTGTTTTTTGTTATAATCTTAATAAGCTATCCAGCTGAAAAAATCAAAGCGCAGTCCTAGATAAAAATAGCTGCACGTTCTCGCCTTAAGTGGTACTATTTTTAATGAAATTCAGCTGATATGTTTTGCTGTGTCCAAAAATAAACGCAGATCACAAACGACAACTTCCTTTTATAAAGATTATATTCAGTAGAAATTCCCAGTCAAAAGTATTTTCTTTGTTGCTTTGCTATTTCGCAAGCTATGACTGATTTTTTTTTCTACGGCAAAAGCCAGTCCCATATGTTTACTTTATTATAATCAATGTTCGTGACAGATACTCCAGACCTCAGTAATAATCATGTTCTGAGATAAGAAAACCATGCGGTAGTGCTAACTCAACTGTTTGCTCGTATTGCAGCTCTAAAACTCTCAGAATAGATTCGCCGTTTCACAGGAATTTTCTGTTAAGATTTCGAGCATATTAGTAAAAGCCAGGGTAAAAAAGATCTATTCTACTAAAAATCATAGCTTGCTTTTCAACAAATCTGCTTCATTAGAAGACAAAAACGGTAGGTTAAACATCAATATTTGTGCTAACATACTCTCTTATATCTAAGCTCACGAAAGAAAGATTGGTACAAGTGATTAGGATTTATTGTCGTACGCATGTACCCAGAGTGCTAACTCAATATCATAAAGAATAGTGTAGTACTCCATTGAAAGCAGCTGCTTTTGGTTCAATATTGCAAGTCTTCTGCTTACAATTCTATGTTCTATGGTTAACTAAAAAAATGGTTGTGATCTTTCAGAAACTTGAATCCATTGAAAAAAAGACTTATTAATTCACTGATTTCCTTTTATCTGATCCAGAATCTTTCTAGGTTTTATATGATATATATCATGAAGAAGTGACATGTCAATTTATTAATATTCTGAGATTCTCTTCTCTTGACTGAAACAAAAATTTACCTCTCTAAAAGCTTTGAGCAACGATCTACTTTCTACAAGAAAAAAAAACAAAATTAGCTTTTTCTCTATTAAAGCTTTCCTAGAAACGCTTAAATCATTTAAATAACATTCAAATGATAACGACCGATTACTTCAATATTCTATTTTCGACATTTTTAAACTTCTTATTGTTGTTACATCCCTAAAAATACAAAAAAAAATCAACATCTGAAGAAAATTATTCATTACAATTACACTGCTCTGATTTCTAACAACGATGGCAAGACCATTAACATTTGTAAAATTTGTTACATATGATTTCCTTTGTTGAATATCAATAATATAATGATTCAATTGAAATCGAAATAAACTATAAAAAAAAACCGAAAATATGTTGATAGAAAAATATTGATATAGACTTATTTGTCGTTACATACAGTTTTCACCAATGAGATATTCCTCATTATTCACTGCGCCATCTACAAGAAACTTTGATTTTATGAAAAAAATTACTATAGTAATAATGGAACAAAAAAACTCATGAAGAAAATCCTTTTTTTACACAATTGAGTAATCATTCATTTTTCTATTCATTATAATTCTATTGTTCGGTATTGGTTGTTCGGCAAAAATAAATACAAACTTCTACCGTGACAATCAACATTAACCATTCTGACGTTTTGTTTTCGTATAGTCATACTTGACAAGCAAATATTGACGCGCTTGTTTTTTTAGATTCGAAATTATTTTTATTGTTTCAAGTTAATCTATCAGACAAGGTAATGAATATTTTTTTTTTTGTTGTGCATAGCTACCTTTTCTTTAAATGCTTGTTTGTCTGTTGCAATCATTGAAACAATGATATGCATTTTTTTTCGTCTAATTATATCTCTATTCTACTCATATCATTAGGAAGTCTACTGAAAAAAAAAAAGATGGGATATTTGTAAGTATAAAAATATTAAACTAAAAGAATGTTTGTAATATTCCGTAAAACATCGATAGCACATAAAAGAATGTCCAAGACTAGATTTTGTGTTTTTCTTGCTTTTGATATGTTAACACTTATTAAAAATGATTCATATAAAAAGAAAACAGAAAAAAAAATTTCTTATTCATGCTTGTTTAGTTTTACCAAACAGAATTATCATCAACAGACCTATCGTCATCGTTATTATTCGTGCTATCTTTTTATTATTATTGCTTATTTATTGCTTGGTTTTACTAATGCTACTAATGAGACTAGGAATGCTAACGAAGGAATAATTGAAAAAATAAAAGATTATGGAAATTATGTATTGCAAACTCTTATTGAAGAACCAAATGAAAATTTAACAACAACATCGAATGAAAGTTCAACTGAAAATGAAATCCCAATATTTCATAAATCAAAAGATATGAGTCGTGTTCCAACTTCTCTTATTATTTTTCTTCGACTTTGTGCACAAGCTTTTATAATTGTAAGTTATTAGATAAATGCTTTTCCAGTAGATTTGAAAAAAAAAATGTAAACACAAAAAAAACTTTCACCATTTGTGAAAGGTTAGAAGGATCAAATTTTAATTTGACATTAAAATTGCATTAGTAATCATTTATTTCATAGGCTATCGAAATAAAATAATATCTTTCTTTTTTTTTCCAGTTTTAACAGAGTTTTTATTATTAACAAAGGAATTTATGCTATACCCTGACCATTTGATTAGGATTATTTGTTATTCATAGAAATTTGAATTTTGATGAAGTTCCATTCCTCGATAGATTTCAGAATTATTAGCATATTCTTTAAAAATTTTAGCTTGAATGAATGTGTTTTTCTTAAGATATTACATGTCTAAGATCCGACGATTGTATTATGTTGCTTCGATATTTACAAAATGTTAACATATGTTGATGCATACATTTAAAGAATTAGGATAGATGATGATAGACAATCTCATTTTCATTCTATACATTTTTTTCCTAAGAAATGTGTTTCTCATTATCGCTGAATAGATATTTGCTTTTCTTGAAATATGATATATGTAAATACATTTTGCCAAAGGGACTTCATTGTAGTATAAACAAGTATCAATCATCCATTTTGATTTTATGACTAGATATATGACATTCGTAGTCAATATTTCATCGGAGATTTCGTTATGTCTTTTTGTATATTGAAAGTTTAAAAGTTGAACGTTCTCGTTTTTTTTTTTGTAACATGTCTTGTCATGAAAAATAAATCGGTCAATGATTTTGACATCTAACGAAAAAAGACAAAAGCGAATCCTTTGAATAGGTCATATTTGAATTGAGCACATCTGTCTTGATAATCGAACGTTAAGACGTGAAATAACACCCTTTTGCTATATAACCAATTTCATTCGTTAAGCAGATAGACAAATAAGATCTCCTAAAGTTGGACATCTATTTTCGATAACTATAAGATCATATTACATATAAACTTACACAAAATCGAATTATGTATTGTTCTTTATGAAAAATTCAAAAATATGTCAAGATTTAAAAGATTATTCTAAAAAATCGATGAGGTTTACTATTCAAACTTCTAATTTAAGTAACATCTATGGTAATTTCGATAAACATTACTCAAAAACTAGTTATCTCAATTGAAAGTCTTATAATAGAAATGTAATTGATTCCATGAAGTGGACGAAAGTTCGGCAGCGTCAGTGCAATGCATTGAAATTCGCATTGACAGTAGTAGAATTTAGTTCACACATTTTTTATTTAATTCATAGGACCAATGTAATTCCTATAAACAATATCAATCAACTTTCTCTCATTATGTATCTAATTCATATTTATATTTTAGTTTGGTGGTGTGATTCCATACATTCCACAATATTTAGTAATAAAACGAACACGAAATGCTGAAGGTTTTTCCAATTATGTTTGTTTGACATTACTTATTGCTAATATAATTCGTATTGAATTTTGGTTTGGTAAACATTTTGAAACTCCACTTCTTCTACAATCAATAGTAATGATTATTTGTATGCTAATTATGCTTGAATTATGGACACGTGTTCATTCACAAACATTACGTCGTAGTTCAACTTCGGATACAAGTAGTAATATATCGAATTCAAAAGAACAATTAACTGATGATGTATCTGATAAAAAATTTACTGATTTTGAAGTTGATTATTTTTGGCGATGGACAACGTAAGAAATAGAAAAAAGAAAATTTCATGATTGTTATTGATAATTTTTTCTTTTTTCAAATTTTAATTCATTTTAGATTTTCAAGTTATCTTCAATTTTTATTTATTTTTACGTTAATATTAAGTAAGTATATGAAAATCAATTGTTTGTTTTTTGTTCAAGAAAATACTTATAAATATTTAAACAAAGAAAAAAACCGGATAGACTTAACCTTTATAAACACAAATAGAAAGAATTACATATTGTATATAGATTAATCTTTCTGAAAGTCAAGTATCTAAATATGAGGACATTAATCTTTTGTGATATTGTGTAGCAGATTTTGTAAATTTTTTTTTCATCTCTGATAACGTAAAATACAATGATGTAATCTATTTTATCAGTAATAGATTCGTAGATATACAAAATTCGAATCATATTTATAATGGCGTGACAAGGAGATCGTGCGTAGTAACGATCTTGAATGAAATCCATGAAATGTGATGTGAATGATGATAATTATGACGCTGTTCATTCTTCTAATGCTAAGGCAGCGCCTGGCCTAGCCCACTATTGATTACGCCACTGCATATTTAATATTCATTGAAGACCATTATCTAAAAGGAGTGTGTTGAAGTATAGGAGTAGAAACTTGCTCTCTCTCGCTTCGTGTCGCAGATCATATATGAATAACATCTTGTTTTAATATATTAACTATTTTCTTATTGCATTTCTGAAAGATTAAGGAAAAAGATAATTATGAAATATGTCACAAAATAAATAGAATTAAATAGTCTCAATCGGATTAGCAAGAGCAGCTACATCGTGTTGCAAATTTGAATCCCATAGAGATTGTGCTAATAATTTTTCTTGTTTGATATTATAATTCTTTTAGGTATAACAACATGGATATTACATAAAAATCTCATTTATATTGAAACTATTGGACTTTTGGCTGTATTTTGCGAAGCTCTTCTTGGTGTACCTCAATTTGTGCGTAATTTTCGTGTAAAATCAACTGAAGGAATGAGTGTGAAAATGGTAGATTGTTTTTTGTTTTTTAATATGTATAATTAAATTATTTGATTTGATTATTTTAAGGTCATTTTTTGGGCAGCGGGTGATATTTTTAAAACAGTTTATTTTATTGTTCGAAATGCTCCGAAACAATTTTGGCTATGTGGTATATTACAAATTAGTATTGATTTTGCTATTCTTATTCAAGTTATGGTTTATTCAAATAAATGTCGATGTCGATGTCGTAAACAATGAAAAACTTGACAAAATATTTTTTTTTTAATTTAAATTATTTATGATGAGTGCATGAATCTCTGTTTTGTTTCTTTGATATCAATACAAAACAATGAATAAGTGTGAAGCTGATTGTTTGTATTCTCTTTTTTTTTCATTCTGTTAAACTTATTTAATTCATATCTATATTTTACTAACTATCAAAATTAGTTTTCTTTTTCTATATTGATTTTGTTAAAACAAATTTGTAAACGAGCTAACACTGATCCGTCTATTTTTTATTTATATTAACAACACATCGTATTTATATTTTAAGATTTAACAAAAAAAAAAAAAAACAGAAAGAAAGTTCATATTAATTATTTTGTATTGATGTTGTAAAATATGTCGATCATGTTTGTTTTGTCTTCTTTTCTTTTTCATATTATAATAAGTCCATTAATACAGTGTGAAAAATTAGTCATTGTTCTATTTGGTGAAATTAACAAAAAATGATTTCTTTTTTTCTTGTTCTATGATTATTAAATATGAAAAAAACAAAGGATTTTACGATTGAAATTAAAAAACAGTATTGCGAATGGATAAAAGATGCTTTTTTTTTTGTTCGAAAGTTCTGAAAGACAGATATTTTGTTTTTGTATGCCAAAGCATTTTTTGAACAAGATGAAATTTTTTTCTTCCAATATTCAAGTGTTACTACTTAATGTAGGATATAATGTTCGAAAGTGTTGATTAGCAAAGTATAAAAATCTCAAGTTTTTTTTTTTTGTATATTGTTGCAACACTTGTAATAAGTATCTTCAACTTAAAAAGAAGACTCACGATTATTAATCATTGGCATAAAGTGTTGCAGACACTTAATTACAATACGAGATATGAACTTAACCTTTAGCTAGAAGATATCAAAATAACATTTTTCTTTTACATTATCTTATGATTATGTTTTCCTGTATAATACTGATATATAGATGTATACATTAATTTAAAGATAACAATATGTAATTCAATAAGCAATATGTGTCTTGATGCATGAAAAAGAATCTTAATAGTCTGAACAATATCCTATCATTAGTATTTATTTGTTTGACTGTATAGTAAAAAAAAAAAAAAGAAAAAAGAAAGAAGCTAAATAACAGAATGATTGACATGCATGTTCAGTCATTCATTCAACCTCATTTTTAATCTGCTTGTCTGAAATCGCATTCGCTTTCAGTCGCGTGTTCAATGACATATGAGCGGCGTGTGGTCGCACAAATTTGATTACCAGCAACACTATAACCACGCCCTATACGCATATTTGCATGTCAACATTTGCGTAATAACTTTTTTTGTACGAAGAAGAGAGAGGGAGAAAGAAGAAAAAAAAGCAGAGTTTATTGTATGTGTTAGGCGGAAACTGGACTCTCATTCTATCTTTACACATTTCTTTTTCTTTTTTGCGATTTCGTTTTATATATTGATCCGAAAAGAATGAATGAGTAAAAGTGTGCGAAGTAATGAATGACACGCTCTTGTACATTTCATATGTTTGGTATATTGTATATGCTTCAAATATCAAGTAAAGAAAAGAAAAGAAAGAAGAAGAGAAAGAGCGAAGGCAAGAAGGAGAGACACAGAGAAAAAGACAGTCCAATAACTATCATACGGTTGATTGCCATGCGAAAACGAGAAGAACAATAATATTGAAAAAAAAAAAAAAGAAATAAGTTTAAACTGAAAATGAACAACGATTATTAAGAATATATCATCAAATATCTACACATATGTTTAAACGAGGTATGTCTAAAAGGTTATCTTTTGTCATGTGTTCTCTTTCATAGACAAAGAGCTTTTCTAAGTAATTTTTTTTTTTTTTTTCGTTTTGTTCTATTCATTTTTATAATCATAAGTGTTTGAGAAAAGAAGAATTCGAGAGTTAAAGTTGACATTATTGAATATAAGAAAAAAAAATGTCATTTATGTTTCGTCATCGAATAAATTGATGATTGTCGATAGTGTAATGTTCAACATACCATTGTCTACACCCGTCGGGCTATGGTCACTAGTGTTACTATGTATTTATATATATGTCACTAACGAAAAAAAAAAAAAAAGAAAAGAACAATGTTAACATATTAGACAAATATACAAAATTCGATCGATTTGTTACATTTACATGATCGATTACGTTGAATTCATCATTACTTTATTATCGTTAATTCAATTTACAAATTCATTTCTAAATATTCGTATAATGTTGAGTGTTCATCAACCAATAGAAATGGATTGGAAATAGGTTTTTTTATTTTGCATTAAATATCATCGTAAATTAGTATACATGAGTAATTATTTATTTATATACGGATATTAAACAAAAAAAAACAAAACAAAACAACGTATCTGATTTTTCTTCATTTATTAAATTAATTGTATCGACATTTTTCTTATATTGGAAAGAAAAGAGTAATGAAATATTTAGATTCCTATTAGGAAAACTTGATCATATAAAAAATCTTGAAGAAAAATGGTTTTATTTTTTATTTTTTTTAGATCTTGTCCTGTTTCGATCGGCACGTCTTTTTTCTTCATCAACAAAGAAAAAGTCTTTAACCAACGACGATGATCTATGTATTTCTCATACATCAGATCGTTTATGTCCGATCTGTCGATGTCCATATGATAATCAAAAACATAAACGCTTAATAGATACGACATGTCATCATGAAAAGTGCTATACATGCATGTTCAAGTATGAACAATGTTCGATATGCTTGTCACATTTAGGTAAGTATATACACATACAGACGTGCATACATATGTCAAAATGTTTTAAAAAAAAAGAAAATTAATCAAGCATAACCAAAATAGAATAATTGACATATATCAAATAATACATTAATATTTGATCGTTATTGAATCTAATAATGCTTAATATTACGTTGTTTTATCCTTGATATCAAGATCGATAAATTAAGTAGAAAATTATTATTTTAGTTAAAAACCGTTCTAATCAAGATAATACAAATACAATGAGATCAACATCACCTTCAATTCTTTCAAATTCTACTTCTCAAGCTCTTGCATCATCAACAATAATTGCTAATAATTTACTTGTTCAAGTATCCCCTCCTATGTCACATTCTACTATTGAACGACCTCCACCAACACCAATTAAACCAGTATCTCATTTTCAAAAACTTTTACATCATTTTAATGGAAATAAATCAATTAATAATTCATTTACACGTGGAACACTACTAACATCAAGTCAACAACGATCGACAATTAAAACAAATGGTTCAATGACAACAATAATAAAGAATATTAATAATAATAATAATAATAATAAATGTTCTGAACAATTATCTCCAAAACAACAATCAGAAGAACCATTACCACCTCCACCACCACCAGAAATGGCTCATGAACAATTACTTGATATATTATTTCAAGGTAATCGTACACGTATTTCATCAATATCTCCATCAGTATCAACATCATCAGCTACAACACATACATCAATTCAACGATTGATGATGAATAAAAAGAAACAACAACAGCAACAACAACAACAGGTACAAATTAATCCAGCAAATATTTCACCAAGTATGTCCAATTCTGATCTTTCATTTTCACCATCCGGTATCAATATTTTATCACCAAGTAAATCATTTTATTTTTCAGTCGAATATCATTCTTTTAATATTTAATAAAAATTACATTTTTTTTTTGCCGAAAAAAAAAACAGGTATTGAAACATTTTCTGGTTATGAAATTGGTCCAATGAGTAAATCAATTCCTAATACAATGGTAGAATCTCAAACATGGTCATCACCACGTTATATAACAACTCCATCATCATCGTCACCATCGAATCATACATGTCATTGTAGTTCAAATTTAAATAATGAATTAAATTCAATAAATGATGAAGAAAAATTTTTTATTCAACGTGATTGGATTTATGATGAAATATTTAAATTATTAAAAGGAACAACGAAACCTGGCCTTGTTTTATTAAGTCATACACCAGGAATGGGTAAAACATGGCTAATGAAAAATTTATTACGAACAACAGCTATAACATCACCAAAAACAACATCAGTTATTATTCGAAATGAAAAATGTATGACTATAAGTAAATCTATTTATTAGAATACGATTGATATTGATAGTGTTTTATCCAGATTCTTTTTCTTTCGAAGAAATGGTTTGAAAGAGCGAGTATCTATTATGAGAACACATATACATAGAATGTAATACAATAACTAGACGTTCTAGGAAAATCAACCTGATCTTTTGAAGAGAAACTGTACTTTGAGCCCTCAAACCGAATAAAACACTGCTTAGTAGTCGTTGGAAATCATAATGAGGACAATCGTTTCTTTTCTTTTTTTTTTTTTTCATCGAAATAAAGCTTCGTCTAATGAAATCCATCCTACACAAAAGTTAAGCTTGATTTAAAAGAAAAGCTTTCCCATCGATGAATGAGAATATTGTTAATGCATAGATATCGATCTACAATGAATAGCTATAAAAAAAAAAAAATTCATTGATGAAAAACACTCATATTCTCATTCATATTTAATCTTAATCAAACATTGTAAATACTCATAATTTTGGTTGATCAATCAACAAACTAATCTCTACAATGCATTAAATTCGATAAGTTTATCATTAAGAAACATTGCAGTTGACTTCTGTTAGATGAATCTATCATAGAATGACAGCATCTGTGTTTTGTAGAAACAAAATTGATTTTATTTTCTTAATTTTAAATTTAACGAAAATCTTTCTATGTATATTTTATACAATTTTTTATTCGGATTTTCCATCTCGAAGTATAATTGTAAATTTCAACAGAGCAAACATCTATTTTTCCGAGCACGAACATATAGTATGTGATACAAAATAACTACAAACACTTTGGAAGTACGCTATCCCTAGACTTTCACACTGAATAGAATACTATTCTAAAAATTTGCCAATTTTTCTGCAATCTGAAAATATTACAAAAATGAAAATGCTTCAGCATTATGGTAGTCTCCTTCAAAAGAACAAATAATGAAGTTTAAATAATGTATAACATTTCAATAATATTTTTCAATAAAAATCAATTGCATTCAAAGTAGATTGATTATCTCATAGTCTTATCTTAATTGAAACAAATATAGAAAATACTGTTGATATCTTACTAATCAAAAGATTTATGATATTTTTCTAAAATTCAGGTCTATTTAATTGTTCTTTTGTATAACAGTCACATACCATAAGACGTAATATGAAAACTAGAGATAGTAGAAAAAGACTCATCTGTATTCAATGTAATTCATTGTGGACAAAAAAGAACGATTAAACAGATCTAAATTAGTAAACAATATCATTTATGTTTTGATTACTAAGATATAAGCAATATTTCCTCTATTTGTTTGAATTAAGATAATACTATGATGAGATAATAAATCTATTCTAAATACAATTGATTGATATTGTAAATTATTGTTGAAATATGATTATGTTATCTAAACTTCATTATTTGTTCTTTTAAAGAAGATCTTAATGAATTGACATCAATGTACATAGTTACATACTGTACCTTTCTTTTTTAGCATCAATAATTCGAGTAAATTCAACAAGAAAAACTGCTTATGAATGGTTAAAATCTCATATATTATCATCACATTTTTGTGATTGTTCACAAACAGATACTTGTTCACTGCCAGATATTATACATTCAATTATTTATCGTGCACTTGAACATCCACTTTTACATGCTTATCGTGATGTTATTTTACGTGAACAACATACACGTAAAGCAATAACATTAAATGCATGTATACAAAATGTTGAACATGCATTTTTTACTGGTAAAAATGAAAATATTTTCTATTCGTTTTTCTTTTTCTATAGTATATTTTTTAGCTTTTCTTGATCAATTAAATCAATTAAAACTTCTTGGTCATTTACAAGAATTATTTTCTATAACAAATCATATTTATTTAATAATTGATGGTATTAATAATGAATTATGTGATACAGAAGGACAAACAATAACAGAATTTTTATTTACTAATCTTCATCGTATACCATCATGGTTAAAATTAATAATAACAATGAATCGTTTAGATGATAATCAACATCAAATAGAACAAAATACATTTCTACAAAATTTTGCTATATTAGATATTGAAGATGAATTAAGATTTTCCAATTATTTACATACTGATATTCGAAAATATCTATCAAAAAGATTAGAGGTAATATATATATATATATAGATGCATTTTAAGTTCATATTCGTAGGCATTGAAAGATATGAATTTTTTGAAAAATTTATTAACCAAAATTTTATATTACTGATTAGTGACATAATTAAGGGACTGAATTTCCTCATCGATTCAAGTCATAACAACTAAATTCTCTCACATGCTTCTCCAGCAGATAGAACTTGGTCATCTGAATATTGCTCCCACACTCACTATCGATATCCTGATTTCGTCATTATTATCTATTACTGATTAATCAAATAAAAATTGTTTTTTTTTTTCTGTCAAAAAGAGTCTTTATTTTACATGCAAAATGGACAAGAAAAGATTCCAATCGTAAAACCTTTGTTTCATATAGATTTATCACGCATTGATCGTCTCAGTACTGAATAATAATTAAGAAATGTATACAGAAGAAAGAACTGTAAACTTTTGTTCGATTTATTTTACTATAATGAAAGTCTAGTATTATGACTAAAGTAAGATTGATCAGCGAGGAAAAAAATGTTTAAAGAAGACGAGAATACCTCTATTATGATATCGTACAAATCTATTCCTTTTCTTTCAAGAGTTATTAGTATAAAATAAACAATTATTTTCCTATTCTTTGAAAGAATTCAATGAAAATTCTATTGTGAATNAATTAGTTTCATTGATAGCTGAAATACAGCGCTGCATAATGAGCGGTTAGCTGGCTTACAAAACCCATCCTTTCCAGACTTATGAAGTTCAATTGCGAAATAGGTGCCATCTCTGGTCATTCATCATAATTCTCTTTGTACTTAAGGAATCGAGCTGAAATAGTGCTTCTGATCTACATTCTTGACGTAGTATATGCACGCACATTTTCACGTCTTCAGCACCTATTATGGCTGAGATCCTCTCGGGGGAAGACTTTTGTCGTCTACTGTATGTTCAATTAATTTATTTAACCATTCACAACGATCAACTTTAGGATATGATAAATATAATGGGAACTCTGTTAAATATTTTTCAATTATTAAATTTATATCAGATGTTGTTAATTCTTGAAAAAATTTTCCACTTTCAATACGTAGTAAATGATAACGTCGTTCGAGAGTTTGTATTAATGCTAATATAAATAACCATAGAAATGAAAAACCATATCGACCAAGCAACCAAAATAAAAATGTATAAATTAAAAAATGTAAAAATATTTTGAAATATTAATTAATTCACTTTTAATATTATGATTTATTGTTGTTTGAAATTTTATACGATTCGATTTTTTCATTTAAAAAAAGAATATAATTAATAAGGAACAAAGAAGAAAAATAAAAGCGCTTCATTTTTATTTCTCTCTCTCGTATATATATGTATATTTTAGGTCAATGTCCGAGTACTTACAATGGATTCAGAACTTGAATTTGCCATACAACCAAATACAAGTGGCAAACAACTTTTTGATCAAGTGAGAGTTTTTTAGTTAAATCGTTTAAAACTAGACATAACTAAGGTTCGAGTCTTATTTTGGTCGTTTCATGCAGACTGTTATTTCTATATGTTTGCTATAACATTTGGAGAGTTTGTCTGCTAGATTAAATTTCTGAAGAGTTTATCTCTAGCATTTTCTATTTAAATGAATGAGCATCTTCTCTTCAACATTTTTTTATTTTAGGTTGTGAAAACAATTGCTCTTCGTGAAATATGGTTTTTTGGTCTTCAATATACAGATTCAAAAGATTTTCCATGTTGGCTTAAATTAAATAAAAAAGTTTTAGGTCAAGATATTAAAAAAAATTCATCACAACCATTAACATTTAAATTTCGTGCTCGTTTCTTTCCCGAAGAAGTATCTGAAGAACTTATTCAAGAAATAACACAGGTAAAAAAAATTGAAAAAAAAAAGAAAAAGAATTCTTTATATAAATATTTTTTTTGTTTTTCAAATAGAAATTATTTTTTCTTCAAGTAAAAGAATCAATTCTTACTGATGAAATTTATTGCCCACCGGAAACATGTGTTTTACTTGCTTCATATGCAATGCAATCTAAACATGGAGATTTTAATGAGGAAACTCATCGACCTGGATCATTAGTTAATGAACGTCTTTTACCTAAACGTGTTATGGAACAATTTCAATTATCACCTGAAGAATGGGAAAAGCGGGTTGTTAATTGGTGGAAAGAACATCGAGGAATGCTCAAGTAAATAATTCATATTCATGAATATATTAGCTGTTTCAGGCAAAAGCGAATCACATTCACCTTTCATTTTACTTTGATTCTTTACGAGGATTATTCTTCTAAATAAGTTCTTTTAGTATAGTTATATGTAACAAATGTTAACTCGTTTAACTGACGATTGATTTAAAAGTAATTAGCAAATATTTCTTTAACCATATGAGACAAAAACCGAAAAAATTTAGAGTAGATTCTATGGCACGAATTGGATATGTAGTGAAATTTTCAGCAAAATTGGACTGTAAAACATTACATTTCCTAAAAATTGATTTTATAGAGATTTTTGGAGATGAATTTGTATCATTTGGAATTGATTTTGAACTAAGCATTCAGTTATAAAAGCATTTTTTTTCGTACAACGCCACGTCAATAACAGAAAGTAAATCGTTTCTTTTTATGAAAAATTTACGCATAATCATAAAAAATTTAGCATAGAGTTTTCTAATCTTAGGAATTATCTGCAGAATGTACTAAGTAGTTTTCAAAAATGCTGGATCAATGCAGAGTGTTTTTAACTAACATACATGAAGTGAATCTCCATGTCTCTTTTAATGTTAGTTTGTTTTTACTGATAACACCTCCGAACGAAGCTCTCTAGAGTTGATTTTATTTCGAATATCTAGAACAACTTAACATATATGTGATATATAAAAATTAGATGTAGAAAAGTTCATTATGTCGAGATACCTGTATTTCAATTTTGCGACATCACGGCAGTAAGTGATGATTTTGCTCAGTTTTATTCAATGTGAGAGAGTGGCGCCTTCCAAAGATCGAGTTGGCCCTCCTAGAAGAGAAAATCTATATAAACCATTGACTTTGGTCCATATATTAATGCATATCAATAATTGATTTCTTTGTTTTTTAAGAGAAGAAGCAATGCTTGAATATCTTAAAATTGCTCAAGATCTTGAAATGTATGGTGTTAATTATTTTGAGATACGCAATAAAAAAGGTACTGAACTCTATCTTGGTGTTGATGCACTTGGTCTTAATATATATGACAAGCAAGACAAGTAAAAACCAAAAAATGAATTTTATTTTTTCAAATTTCTATGTATATATTGATTTTTAATTTCTTAAGGCTCACACCTAAAATTGGTTTTCCATGGAGTGAAATACGAAATATATCATTTAATGATAAAAAATTTGTTATTAAACCAATGGAAAAAAAATCACCAGATTTTATTTTTTATGCACCAAGACTTCGTATAAATCGAAGAATATTATCACTTTGTATGGGTAATCATGAATTATATATGCGTCGTCGAAAAACAGATTCAATCGAAGTACAACAAATGAAAGCACAAGCTCAAGAAGAAAAATTAGCTCGTCTTCAAGAACGGTATTTATTTTTGAATTTATAAAGATTGTTTTTTTTTTTTTAAATAATATTATTTATTTATTAAGTGAACGAATTCAAGCTGAAATTGAACGTCGTAAACAGGCTGAACAAGAACGTGAAGCAATGAGAAGAAAAGTTGAAGATCTTGAACGAAGTGCAGTAGAAGCTCGACGAGGTGAATATTATTTAAACATATATTTTAACGTTTTATTCATTTTAGAAAAAAAAATCCATTAGGATTATTGATAGTCTAGTAAGACAGAATGTGAGACGCTATATCAAAAAAAAAAATACAAAATTGCTTTATTTCGATCATTAGTTTTTGTGTTAATGAATATATATATATATATATATTTCTTGTGTTGATTTGCGTGTTTTTGTTTTTGAATTTATTTGGATAAGTTTTTAATTGATATTTGTATTTGTTTCTTTTTTGTAGCTTTGGAAGATCAAAGTCGCATAACAAAAGAATTAGAAGAAAAACGAAAACAAGCCGAAGAAGCTCAATTACGTTTAAAACAAGAACGAGAAGAAGCCGAAAGGGAACATGAACGAATGGTGGAACGTGTTCGCTTTGAACAAGAAGAAAAGGATAAAATTGTATGTTAAATTTATATTGAAATCTAAACAACAACTATAATGTATAGGTTACTTGTAACGATATTTTTACTTCGATTTAGAAGTGTTCTATATATATTTAGCATTAATTATAAAAATGTTTCTGATTTTTGAGCTACGAATGAAATTCTATGAAATAGTGTGCTCGTCGAGATACATAATTTTTGGACCCGTATCCTAAGTGTTTTTCTAATTGCAATGAAATCTTTTAGTCTAAGTCTAATAGTCACTTTGAAAATGCGAGATATTTTCTTTTGTTGATTATTTCTGTTCTGCTACTAAGACACCCAACACATTTCTCAGAGAAATCTTGACAATAAACTTATAATAATCAAATCATAATTGGCTGTTATTTTTACAGTGTGACCTGTTGAGTTGGTACTGAATTCAAGCATAATCTCCATCAGATCTGAAACGATCCCGACAGGCTCTAAATCTGATTAAAATATTTTGAAATGTCTATCGATCTTAATCATTCTACCAATATCTTAATGTATTTGTAATGAGAAAAGAAATGAACAAAATACATTCTAAGTTTTCTTGATGGTCTATTTGCAAATTTTCTTTTGCAATTTGTTCTTAATTTTGAAAGCAACATTCTTGTTAGTATCAATTATTATTTTCATTTATAAACTATTTCAGCATATGTATCATTTAAACAAATCTGTTTGTTGGGTATAAATAATCATCACATTATATAGAAAGCATGTAATAATAAGAGCATATAAAGATGCATGTATAAACATGAAAGAAAATCAAAAGAAGATTTATAAAATAAATTGTAGTTTTGCCTGTTTTTAATTTTCTTTTTTATTATTTCAAAGGTAAATTATTTCAAAAACATTTCTTCTAGGTACAAGAAATTGAACAAGCTCGTCGATTAGCTGAACAAAAAGCTCTAGAAGCTCAACAAAAAGAGAATGAAGCACGAGAACTTGAAGAACAATTACGTGAAGCTAAAATGAGAGTATGTTCTTTTCGTTTTATTTATTATCTGTTCTATTTTCAATAAAAAAAAGTCTTTCATCTTATTGCAGAAATCGGTAATTCATACTTTTCTGTTAATTAAAAAGAAACAACATGACTTCTTGTGCACGAAAACATAGATATATATATATATATATATGCATACATGAAGGGTCTTCTTTTTCTTCTAGCATCGTCATTTCACACGAGGACATTCTCGTCCTTGGGTAGGCACTATAACTAAAAATAAAACACCGGGAGAAAGGAAAATGCTCAGACAAATAACCTATTTAGAAAAATTTTTCGAATTACAATATTTATTCATATTATACATTTAGGTACTTCAAGCTCAACAACAACCTAATAATCATCATTATACGGAGCATCCCGGCGAATATGGAAATCCTATGGAAGATGAAGAAAGTGACGAAGAAGAAAATAGTACAAATCGTAATGGACGAGGTAATTCTAAAATATTTTTTTTTTGTTGTTTCTTATTTTACTTTTTAAGGTGTTGAACTTCGTACAAATGAATATGCTTCACGTCATGAAGAAAATCGTTTAACTGCAACAACAAAAGATCATAATATGAAACGAAAACTTGAGGTAAATATTTGTTATTAAGTGGGATTTAAAAAAAACAAGTAATTTAAAAATCTTCTTGATTTTTTTTTTTATCACTATTTGATTTTCACATATTCACGCACATTGCTCTATTACCTGCTTCAGGCTCTCAAAGACGAATTGGGTTCTGTTCAAAATTCCAACAAGGTTACTGATAATGATCGTTTACATCAACAAAATGTTGCCTCAGGTCGAGACAAATACAAAACATTAAAAATGATTCGACAGGGAAATACAAAGAAACGTATCGACGAATTTGAGTCTATGTAAAAAAACACAAACATGGAAAATTCTCTTTATCATTCCTTTTTTTTTCTTTTTCTTTTTTATCATTCCAATGATCATTATATAAATTACGTTTCTTTCTTTCTTTTTTTTTTCGTGTGAATGCACGCGCGTTTGGGCTGCTGTTATTGTCTTTTTCTCTTTGTTCTTCTAAACACTTAAGCAGCGAAATCGAACAATCATAGTATGATTATTATTATGATCATCATTCCAAAAAAAAATCAAGTCGTCTCTACCGTTTGATTTGATTGATCGACTATATCTCATTCGATTTCTTTCTCTCATTGAGAACCATTTGTTTAACTTTAAGTTGTCTTGTATCTATTCTAAAAAAAAAACAAAAAAACAAAAATCTCCCTTTTTTTCTTCTTTACTCTCTTATTAAAGTGTGCTTTGTCTGTGTGTATGTAGTTTAAAAAAAACTAAAAATTTCATCATGTTTATCGTTTCTTTTATTTCATCTTTTTTTTTCTTTCTTTTTTTTTCGTGGTTTATTAGTTCCTATTTTTTCCGTGCGATCTCGCTTGTTGATCTTGGAAATAAACACCTACTTGCACACATATACACTTATGAAGTTTTATTCATATATTTATGGGAAATTTATTCACATTAGCTTTGCTGATCAATATATGTATATGATTATTATTAAAGTGTTGGGAAAACATTGAAATATTTCTTTTGTTTAATTTATGATTTTTGTTTACAATATAGGAAGAACGAAAAGATCTTCGACGACGACAAAGAAAAGCAGAGACACGAGAAGATAAGATATATCGGGAGAATATTATTGACAAAGGTATTAATAAATATCAAACATTAAAAAACATTCGTCAAGGAACGGGTAAGTTCTATCTATTAGTATTATGTAAACTTTTTTTTGTTTTGGATCTTTATTTTAGTTAAACGACGTATTGATGAATTCGAAGCTATGTGAATGAATATCAACATATTGTGTTTATTTATAAATAATTCTTTTTATTTATGGTCATGTTTTTTTTTTTTGATATTTGCCTTGTCATTTATGTTTCAAAAGAATTTTCTTTTTGTCGTTTAATTATTTGTTAAAAACAAAGAATAATAAAATATGGGAATGATTTTTCTTTTTGCAGATATTTATGTCATCCATAACAACTAGTAGTATAATATCTGGTGAACCATTGACAACTGTACTTGTCTCAGCTATACCTAAATCTTTTCGTTCAGCGGATTTACGGAATTTTTTTTCAGTGTTTGTTGAAACACAAGCTTTTCGATGTTTTCATTTTCGTCATCGACCTATGCCAACATCATCAACCAATGCTGTTAGTGCGTCACAAATGTGTTTTATACAAGTTTATAATAAACGTTTAAATGAATTTATACGCCTTTATCATCGAAAACATTGGATTGATTTAAAAGGCAATTATTTATCATCGATTTGTCTTATTAGTAAAGTTACAAATGAAGATAATGGTAAGTTCTTATTGTAATAAATATTTTGTGAAACACTATCTAAAAGAAGCATGGAAGTATATAGGGTAGAAAGGATGGGGATGCAAATTGAACTGTATATAAGTGTCGCTGCTAAAGTCTTAAATTATGGGTATTTATACCTCTCTTACAAGCTTGGCCATCACCATTACATTTCTTCGTGGTGGGAGCTAAGAGGACAGATACTTCTTCTGAGATGGAGTCACAAGCCAATAAGCTTACTTATTGTGTGATCGATAGAGCATGACTTGAGCTGCATTTTGATTTTTCGTTGAGCCGATAATGAGCGAAGAAGAATGCTTGAGCAACTCAAATCGATGCATTTTTGGTCGCTAGTCGATCTTGAGAAGTCAATATCCTAGAAAATAAAAATGAACATATCAACAAAATTTCAGTACTAGTAGAATACATGACGGACTACAAGTGACCATTCTTTAACTGATATTTGCCAATTCTTATCAGACACTACTTTTCTATCGAAAAAATGATATATTTGGCATTGAAGTCAACAATCAAGCTGATCTATATCTGTTTTATATTATTTGGACACCTTTTATTTTCATCAAAAATTTCACTCCTGGTTCTCCTCAGGGTTCAGTCAAAAAATGAAATCAATCATAATACCATTATTAATGCGTAATCATCTATCTTTTGTGCTCTATTATCATTGTATAAGATTCAACATATAGAATAAAATAATCTTCCTGTGATTAGCAAGAGCAGCTACATCATGTTTTACATTTTTATCCCGTAGAGACTGCGCTAACAGTTTTTTACTTTGCTTTCTTTTATGCATATAGATTCAACGATAACCAATAATTTAATTGAATTGAAACCTCCAAAACATATTTATCCACAAGGTAATGTTGGAACACCGACTTCATATTTTCTTAACGAAATAAATGCATGTCGATTACCTTCGACAATAATTAGTAAGTATCAATCATTATCGCGTTCATTTTGAATCTTTTTATTTGTGTATAGAAAAATTGGGACTTGTTTTTCCTAAATGTCGATCAAAACGAAAATATGGTTGTGTTGGTTTTGATTATGGCACCATTATTGATCAAGATGATGATGATGAAGAAGAAGAAGAAACAGAAGATATCGATGAAATGAATTTAAAAACTGGTCAAGGTCATGAAATTCTTTCTGAACAAGATAAAACAACACTCGATAAACTTAATAAACAAAAAGTAAATTCTATTTTTTAATAATTTTCTTTTATTGATTTCATTGTCGATAATATTTTAGGAAGATGATGAACGTGAAAAAGATGACATATTTATATCAAATGAAGATAAACAACTTGATGAAGAAGAAGATGAACTCGAAGAATGGGATCGACATGAAGCACAATATGATGATGTTACAAAACAAGATCGAACATCACCATATTTTTTTGACCATAAAATTGAATTAAAATGGGAAAAAGGTGGTAGTGGTTTAGTATTTTATACAGATGATGTCTTTTGGAAAGAACATGAAGGTCAAGATTTTGATAATTTGGATATGGCTGATGACATAGATATTGATATGCGCATGTATCATGAAAGTGCAGGTACATAAAAATAAGATGATTTGATCTAATTATAATATTTTTAATTCAATAGGATCAGCTGATCGTGATGGAAATGAATTACAAAGTATACGTCGAGAAGAAGATCTTCGTCAAGGTCGTATATCGAATGAAACTGATTCCGAACATAAACGAATTGGTGCATTTGAAAAACATACGAAGGTAATGACTTTTTAGTATTTTTTTCTTCGTACAATTTTGTTGGGTTTTTTATAATATTATAGGGAATCGGACGACGTTTATTAGAACGAGATGGATGGCGTGATGGTCAAGGCCTTGGTTCATCTGTTACGGGTATAAGCGAAGCACTTACAGCTGATGGTGGAAAGTTATCGATAAAAGATAAAACCGGCTTAGGATATACAGGTGAAAAAATAGAACGAAATCCTTATAAACGAATTGCTACTGGCAATCATCAACGGCAAGGAGGAATACATATTACTACTATTTATGATGACCCAGAAGAAACTGATCCAGCTGAACCACATAATCGTCGATGGGCCACAACGAGAAACAAGAATCGACCACGACGAATAAAAAATGTTTTTGCAAAACCATAAATATGACAGAATCTTTTATTTTTACAATAAATTTTGTTTGTATTCATGAATAAATTTCATTAAATTCAATTTTGTCTTCTTATTTATAATTGTTACAAAATAATATAAAGTAATATCGGATATGATTATACTATAGATAGTACATTTATACAGAAAATATTATAGTTTAGAAAAAAATTAATATTCCGTTTAGATTTATCACTGGAAATTTGGATACTTCCGCATAAAAAATTGACAAGAGTGCCATGTGACCCTTAACATTCTCATATCGTCCGCAATAGAGTAGTACATGAGCATGAATTTTTCTATCCTTCTTACTCGTACCGGTGAAATTCATACTCGTACTTAACTCGTTCTAATTGTGCGCAATATAAATAATCCATTTGTTTTTATTTTCATTTAGAAAAAAGATGCTATAATAACATTAGAACAACCACAAATTAGAAGCAAAAGAGTTAAAAATACAGTCGACATGTCAAACATCGACAATTATCTTTGACTTTTCTCTATGCTTTCTCTAGGGCATTGTATGAGTATAAGTTGTCGTGAGAGTGGGTGTGTCGCTATGTAGCTGGAGAACAACGATTTACAGTGACATCCACCCACACCCATACAAACAGCCACACCCACACCCATTCTCGTTTGCAATCGTCACTATTTTCTGAAGAACATCCGGCATGCTTTGATACATCTTGGTCTCATCCTAAAAGAACATATATTAGTTTCTCGCAACAACTTTTTATGATTAGTCAGGTAACGTTCGCTGCAATAAGTCGAAATGATCCCATTTTCTGTGATATGTTACGTTCGATCAGGCTGGAAACTTTCATGGTGGAATTCTTTTTTTTCTTTATTTGTTCTTTGACTAAAAAATCAAACTACGGAAGGTATGTCTAAAAAACATCTGGTTTTTGTAGAAACAAATTTTGTAAAAGCAACGGATAATCACCTGAGCAATATTTTTTCAAGCAAAAGATACCATTCTAAACAGTGTCCAGTATATGCGAAAATAATTTCAGCTCGATCGAACGCCACTACTATTAAACAGACAATATACTCCTTGTAGAAAAACATTCATACAGTTATCTTTTTGGCCATTTCAGAAAGTGCAGTTGTACAATGCGCACTGTCATACACATATATCTATATACAGGTACTTCAAAAAGTATCCGAACACTTATGGTCATCCCGACCTTTTCTCAGATCGATTTTGATACAGCTACATGCAAATCATATGGAATTTTCAGGGCATATTGAGACTGTAGAGGAGAGATTATGGCACAATTTTTAGCCCTGTAGCATAACGTTTCAGAAAGATATTCACTAAACAAGGGCCAACAATAACCCATTTGGGAGCCTAAAATTCTCCGTGAGTCTTCATTCTACCATATTTAAGTTTTTTTTCGCTTGAAAGACCATGCCCTACGGGTATGGGTAAAGAAAGCATACACCCACATTCAGACTTGCCGATTAGAGGAGGGATGATGGAGGGGCTCTATCCCCGCCAAAAATTGAGAACATGTTCGACTTTCTGCGAAAATTTCTATTACTTTCTGCCAATTTTTAAAAAATCTCATGGTAAATTCTGACAGAAACCCAGTTTTTAAGCACTATTCGCCAATTTTCTGGCAGAAAGTCGAATAAAAACATTTTCTTCTCAACAAAATCTCGCAGAAAGTCGATGAATTTAGCATTATTTATTCAGTTGCTGCCGACAGGTCAGATGAGGCATTTTCTGCCAAAATGTCCAGACTTTCTGCTGAATTTTTAGCCTTTCCACTTTTCAAAACAATTCATAACCCTGCCCACACCCTGATCCGGTGATAGCCTCTGTCTCCGATTATGAGTATAATCTCACTATAACTAAAAAGTTGTTCCAAAGACGAAATTTCACTGGACCAAAAGTGAAGTCTATTTTCTTTCACTATCGATGATGGTAAATCAACTTCTAGATCCTGATCAAGTGTATCAGGCTTGAACGCTTGATAATTTGTTTGGTATGAGAATTCAATTGATAATGAAGAAGCAGATGATGAACGTCTAATACCAGTTAGAATTTATAAAGGATATCAGATAATGATTTGGTTTGTTGGACGATTGTTGTGGTATTTCACCAATTATAACCAGTTGACGTGTGAAAAAATAGGTAATTCGTTTCTCTTACTTGACTATAGTCAATACCTCTATTCAATTTTGTCTTTCTTGTCATTCTATACATAGTTAATTTTTGTTGTCTGTTCCTTTGTATGTGTCTCTTTGTTGTTCTTACATACAAAAATATCACGACATATGTCAATGTTGAAAGATAAAATAAAAAAGTGCATTGAACTCTCATTTCTATTATTATCAGTAATAATTAATTTATTTGTTTGTGGGAATTTCTGATACTTTAAGCTTTTGAAATTAATAATTTGAACGTTCGCATATGTATGGTTACGCAAATATTCGGA